CCGCACTCCGCACTACCAACCGCGGATCCAACCCTGCTCCGCACCCCCGCAACAATCACTCCTCCGGTGGCCCTGGTCCTTCCTCTTCCAGCTCCACTCCGCATCATTCCGCCCCCTCACACTTCCGCAACAACCACTCTCGTCACCCTCATTCCCGCAACAATTTCCGCCGTCCGCAAGAACGGCAACCCTCCGCTCCGCACGCTTCCACGTCCGCGCCCTCCGCCTCCTCCGCTAACTCCTCTGGAGGCGGCAACCGCAACAACCGTCAGGGCGGTGGACCAGCAGCGCCCTTGGAACAACAACCTGGGACGCTAATGGTCGCCTCCGCCCTGAGGAGCGCGAACGTCGCATGCGGAACAACCTTTGCCTTGTCTGCGCTGCCTCAGGACATCGCGCAGCGGACTGCCCGCGCACCCGCCGTGCCCGCAGGGCCAACGCGTCCGCTCCGCAGGTTTCCGACTCCTCTCAGTCGGGAAATCACTGAGCAGCCCTGTGACCTCGCCTTTCCCTCAGGGCTGCGCCTCCGCCGCAGAAAGGCTTGAGGTCCGACTAAATGCGGCAGCCCTCTCTGATCCCAATGCTCTTTCCATTCTCTTTTCGATTCTCCGCACCCCAACTCATTTCCTCCTCTCTGGACTCTGCTGAACTCCGCGCCTTGATTGATTCGGGTTGTACGGACTGTTTTATCGACTCCGCATTTGTATCCAAGCACGATATTGAATTCTATGACATTCCGCCTGTTCCGCTTAAACTCCTCGATGGAACCGTTTCGCGCTGGTTATCGCAAGCTGCGGACATCACGCTCCGCATTTCCTCAGGCGAGGAATTCCATATCAAGTGCTTCATCACAACCCTGGATGCCCTGTATCCGTTGGTTCTAGGACACAACTGGCTTGCCCGTTACAATCCGTTGATTGATTGGCGCAGAGGCCAGATACTCTCGTTCGAATCATCCGATAACTCCTCCGCGTTGAGCTCACTCGCCGCCGCAAACGTCGAGACCTCCGCAACTTCCAGCATCCCTCCGCCTCTCTCCGCACCGGAGCCTAGTGCTCCGCACACTTCCCCTTCTTGCGCGTTTACCAGCAATCCAGTTCCGATTTCTTTTGTCAATGCAGCCGCTTTCCGCCGCGCATCCGCGATGCGTGGCTCACACTCCTTTTCCCTTTCCCTTTCCCAGAGCGACAACGTGGTGCGGGCATGCGCCGCAGCAGTTGATGCGGAACCCGTCGACCTCTCCTCTGTTCCAGAGGAATACCACGAGTTTGCCGACGTGTTCAGCAATGCTAAGGCCTACACCTTGCCTCCGCATCGACCTTACGACCTCAAGATCGAGCTGGACGCCGCCGCTCCGCTTCCACCTAGTCGTCTCTACTCCCTGTCTCCTGCGGAGACCTCCGCACTCCGCGAGTTCCTCGAAGAGAACTTGCGGGCTGGTTTCATTCGCTCCTCCAACTCTCCCCTAGGCGCTCCCCATCCTTTTTGTCAAAAAGAAGGATGGATCGCTCCGCCTTTGCGTCGATTATCGCGGACTCAACCGCATCTCCAAGAAAGATCGCTATCCGCTTCCGCTGATCTCCGATCTCCTCGACGCACCCGGCCGCGCGAAGGTCTACACCAAGATTGACCTGAAGCATGCCTATCACTTAGTCCGCATTGCGGACGGGGACGAGTGGAAGACCGCATTCCGCACACGTTATGGGTCGTATGAATGGCTGGTGATGCCTTTTGGGCTGACCAATGCGCCCTCCGCATTCCAGCGATTCATGAACGATATCTTTGCGGACATGGTTGATGTCAGTGTCATCGTCTACCTGGATGATATCCTCATCTATTCCGACAACATGGAGGATCATCGCAAGCACGTCAAGGAAGTCCTCCGCCGCTTGCGGAAGCATGGTCTCTTCGCCTCCGCAAAGAAATGCGAATTTCATGCGGAGCGCGTGGAATACTTGGGTTACATCTTGTCGCCTGCAGGCCTCACTATGTCTGCGGACAAGACCAAGACCATCCAGGACTGGCCTGAACTGCGCTCTGTGAAGGATATACAGTCCTTCCTCGGTTTCGCCAACTTCTATCGACGTTTCATCCATAACTACTCCGACATCACTGTTCCGCTTACCCGCCTCACCCGCAAAGACACCCCTTTCGTGTTCGGCGACTCCGCACGTTCCGCATTTGAGACCCTCAAGTCCGCATTCACTTCCGCACCCATCCTGGTGCACTGGCAACCCGACCGACCCCTGATTGTGGAAACTGACGCCTCTGACTACGCCCTTGCCGCCATCCTGTCCCAACAACTTGACTCTGGCGAAATCCACCCCGTCGCATTCCATTCCCGCACTTTCCAAGCTGCGGAGCTCAACTACGACGTCCACGACAAGGAGCTCCTGGCTATCTTCGAGGCCTTCAAGATTTGGAGACATTACCTCGAGGGATCTGCGGAGCCTGTGAATGTGATGACGGACCACAAGAACTTGGAATATTTCGCCACTTCCAAGGTCCTCACCCGCAGGCAAGCGCGCTGGTCGGAGTATCTCTCCCAGTTCAACCTTGTCATCCGCTTTCGCCCTGGAAAGCTGGGGACAAAGCCCGATGCCCTCACTAGACGTTGGGACGTCTACCTTAAACAGGGAGGTAGTGACTACGCGTCAGTCAATCCCCACAACTTCAGACCCATCTTCACCAATGAGCAGCTGTCCGCATCGCTCCGCGCAACTTCGATCATGCTCCCCGCACTCCGCGCATCGATTGTAGTTGACGAGGGAGCGCTCCTCAAGGACATCAAGGCTGCTTACTCCACGGACGAAATCGCTTCCAAACACCTCCCCACACCTTCCAACCCTCGCTGGACTCTCTCCGCAGATGGTATACTCCGCCAGGACGGACGCATCTACGTTCCGGACGACTCCGCACTCCGCCTCCGCGTACTTCAGCTCAAACACGACCACCCGCTTGCGGGACACTACGGCAAGAAACAAGACGATTGAGCTGGGTGCGCCGCGACTACGTCTGGCCGGAACTCCGCACTTTTGTTGCGGACTACGTCCGCTCCTGCACAGTCTGCAAGCGCAACAAGTCTCCGCGTCACAAGCCTTATGGTTTGCTGAAACCCCTGCCTATTCCGCTCCGCCCCTGGGACTCCATTTCGATGGATCTCATCGAACAGCTCCCCGCATCCGGCGGATACACGGATATCTTGGTGGTGGTGGATAGACTGTCCAAACAAGCCATTTTTGTTCCGACAGACTCCCGCCTCACCTCCGCAGAGCTTGCGCGACTGTTTGTGCTCCACGTCTTCTCCAAACATGGCGTTCCTAGCCATGTAACCTCCGACCGCGGCTCCGAATTCGTCTCCCACTTCTTCCGCAGTTTGGGGGAAGCCCTGGACATGAAGCTCCACTTCACATCCGGCTACCACCCAGAAGGAGACGGACAGACAGAGCGGGTCAACCAGACGCTTGAGCAGTATTTGCGGACCTACTGTAACTACCAGCAGGACAACTGGCATGAACTCCTCCCACTTGCGGAGTTTGCGTACAACAATGCGCCTAGTGCCACAACTGGTGTTTCGCCATTCTTCGCTAATAAGGGTTATCATCCGAACATCTCTGTTCACCCTGAACGCGATCTTGCGAGTTCCGCTGCCCGCGACTTTGCGGTCGACCTGCAGGAGCTCCACGAACACCTCCGCACCAGTATCGCCAGCGCGCAGGAGTCCGCACGCCGCTATGCGGACCAGAAGCGCTTACCTCCGCCAGACTTCAAGGTGGGCGACCGAGTTTTCGTCACTTCAGTCACCTAGGAACAGTAGTCTAATAGAGTATTAAATTTTGCCATATATTGATCTAATAGACCTCTGAAGGAACATGCCTCACGGAACCTGGAATCACTTTCGTCCTTGTTCTATTTCCTTCAGGATACTTAGGAATTTTAATAATTCTGTTCCTTTTCCAATCGAATACCCATCTGATCCCTATGATGGGGGTGTCTGGGGTCCTACTGTGGAACATCAACCTGTATCCTCCAACTATTGCCACCACTGTTTTTGTTCACTTTATAGTTGATTATACACCGCCTCCGATTTTAATGTTACACCTCATGTTATTGCACTTCTACGATATGTACGTTATGAACTTGTGCACCTTGATCACACTTCTACACCATTGTGGTCGTGTATCATGATCTCAATACTTGAGATCTAAGTATACACATTCAAACTTGGTGGATAAGGGCCCTGGGCTGGGAATCGGCTATAGCTACACTTCTACACCACTGGGCTTGTGTACCATGATCCCAATAACTTGAGATTTTCTCTTAAGTATATATCATATACATGCATACTTGGTGGGTAAGGGCTAGGAATCATATATAGATGATCTATTAGCTACCTGTACTCGGCTACCTCTAATTTGTAATACCCGAACTCGACTGTTCAAACTTCAGTGAAATTGTAATGTGGACTGGATTTGTAATACCCGAACTCGACTGTTCAAACTTCAGTGAAATTGTAATGTGGACTGGCCCATCACTATCATTATCGTCCTGACGAGCCTGCTAGAGGAAGCATATCAATGCTGTCGCCTACATCTTGGAACATGAAAGCACTAACACCAATCATAATACCTTTATAAGTTGTGGAACTTTAAGACTTGATATTGTTCCAAGTCCCATGGTACATAATGGAGCTCGCAATAGTGTTCCACATTGACTGTTCCGGGCTCCATCGCCTTCCTGGGGAACTGGAACACAGCGCCAAGTACATACTGGAACTCGAAATGCTGGTTGGTATAACTCATTCCAGGTTCCATGACATTCCAATGGGACACATATCATTATTTCAACCAGTATTCCAAGTTCTTTTATCCACAGTTGGAACACATGATTGTATGACACAACTAAGTTACATGTGCCTTGACGATCCAAAGGAACTTTAAGTATCGAGTAAACAAAGGTTACATGATCCGTTTAAATATGTGACTTCTCTCGAGAATCTACTAAATATCATCTTCAATTGCTCGAAGACGTTTGCGGGGAGAGCCAAGAATGCTACTAGATGACGCGCCATTGAAAACATCATCCTCACTGATCGTAAGTCCTTCAAAGGCGTCTACCTGTTCTTCGTCCCCATACAACTCACCCAAGTAGACGTCATCAATGATTTCCAAGAGATCATCACCATCCTGTCCAAACCATTCCTCCTCCTCTTCCTCCTCTTCCACAAGACTGTCATTGTTCCAGCCAACTGAGGTGCCCTCTGACCTTGGCATACCAAACTGAAAAACAAATAAGCCCTGGGTTGCACGGTCAGAGAAATCAGCGATGTCTTCATCTGTAGGACCCCAGCCCAGGCCATCGTCTCCCGGAATGTCCACCAGCAATTCACTCCATTCGGTAACAAGTCCCAGCAGCGTCTCACATCTCTGCCGAAGCTCGAACACAAGATCAGGGTTGTTGCTTGACAAAATTGACAAGTTTAACCCATCCCATGTCGACCTGCACCAGATCTGAAGATGTGCTCGCTCCGCTTCAAGACGGGACTCCTCTTCTTCGCATCGTTGAAGGGCCAAATGGGCGCGTATGCCTTTGATCACATTGTCATCGGCAAGCCACGCCGGCGGGGAGCCCTCGCCAGTGTCTTCGAGGCCTCGCATGTCCCATATAGGATCGTCGATATCAAGGGAGAAGAGCCTCTCCTTCGGAATCGACTTCGGTGCGACAGCATTTCGGGGTGCTCGTCGTTGGTGAATGAGGTCTTCCATCGACGCGACAACATCGTTGTATCGCTTGACCAATTTGACGACACTCGGTTCATGCCTGGACACTTGAGCTTGAATGTGGGCTTGTAACTTGTTATCTGCAGAGTACGTTACAACGCCAGTCTCACGGCCAAATAGTAGGAGGACATACCAGTGGAGCCAGGACTTCGGCTTGCTTTATCGAGGCGCTCAAGCTCGAACTTGCGTGCGCGCAGTTTTGCACAAATTCGCTCCTTGAGTGCCGCTGCATTGAGACGATGTTTCAGAAAATCACTTTTCGACAGTCGCTCGAGACTGTGCTTAGCAGTCGCACCCAAAGCCTTCCTTCGTTGAGCAATGGTTTCCGTAGTTTCAGCCAGTTTGGTTGTTAATGCAAGGGAGAGGTTGGTTAGATCTTCCATGTCCATGGCCACGTCAACGTCGTTTCGCTTGATTCGCCGACTAATCTTCGCTAGTTCCGCCTTGTAGCCATCCCGAAGCTTGTTCAACGAAAGGATTTCCTGAACAGCCCTCTTGGCCGCATGTTCTGACACCTTTGCAAGCGGCTTCGTCTGCATCTCCACCTGGGTGTCCCACTGTTGCTGCAGATATGCTCGAGAAAGCTTTAGTCTCGCTAGCACCTCTAGACTTTCTCGCTTTCGCGTCCGACACTGGTTCCATTTACGTTCAATCCAGCGTCCCAAAGAGGCGAATGATTTTTTGTCCAGAAACGATACTTGGTTGTCGATAGCAAACAAGCGTTGATGGTACTACAAGCAGACATTTAGTCATGGAATGACGAAAGGACGCTGAACTTACGCCAGAAACCCTTAGTGCTGGTATCAAGATCTTGATCGCCGCCCAAAACCGTTCACAGCCCTCGCCATCTGACAACCCAAACCCCAAACACTTTCGAGGATGATACACCACCTGACAACCCCATTGGTGACCATACGCGTGAAAAACAGACACACTCCAACGGATCCGATTCGCCACGTCACCGAGAAATCCCCACTTCATGCAACTTCGGTGAAGCTGGCATGCTACGTCATAAAGGAGGCCGACGGTCATGTCGATTGGTACGTTGTTGAAGAACTTTTGCAAAAGAGCGATGGCATAGAATTGGCGCTCCCCAGCTGAGGTCATGTTCGCCAGCCAGAGCACCCGGTCGTGACGACAAAGTAGTGCCATCAACCCAGTATCCGCAAACAATCGTGTGCTGGCCTTAGTGCGCTTCTCGTCCGCTGCAGTGAATGACTGGAGGCATCCGTTGAGGACAGAGGTCGGTACCTTCATTCCCTCTTCCATTGTGTCGTCCTCCGCCAACGGTGCTTCTTTGCCAACTGCCGGAGTTGCCGTTGCAGCTCCCTCGGAGGGTCGCAGGCGCTCGACGTAGGCCTTTGCTTCAGATACTTCGTCGGCGGTTAGAAAAACCGACAGTGGGTGTGTCAATGGTGGGCTTCGGTCTTGTCCACGAGCAGGGTTGCGGCGTTTTTGGGTGAAGTTTGCATCCAGGCATAACAGAACTTCCGAACTGGCAACTCCATTCAGTTGATCATGTAGAAAGTATAACGAAGTAATTACTCACAGACAGTCGCGTGTGTTACGCTGGTTGTTGAAGCACAGAGGACATCGCTCCTGCAAGTACCGCGAAGGCTCCATCAACCCGCCGATCCCATCTCCCTCATCAACCCAGTCATCACCCTCAGCCTCGCCCACGTGTTCTTCGCACTCGTAGTCCTCTTCGATGTCCAAAGGCCCTTCGATGGGTCTGGCTGCATCCCACACTATGCTGTTGATGACGGCGTCTTTTTGAGCAACCATATATGTGTACCACTTCACAGCCGTTGCCATCTTTCGTCGAATAACATCTTGGCCCTTGACTTTGAAGCCTTGCCGGGCGAGAACGGTTTCCAGAGTAGCTGACCACGCCGAGAGATTGAGAGCCGACCGAGCATAGAGTTCGTGCATGAAATCAAGCATTCGCAGGTCCACCGCAAAGGCGGGGCGCACAGGAGAGGATGGAAAGAGACCGCGTTGCACCAGAAGAACTGCGGGTGAGCAGTTGCAAACATGTAACTCCTCAACGCCTGAGAGGAGGTGAGAATAGTCGATGATTTCAGGAACAAGCCACCTACCATGCTGATACACAGCTAAAACTCGAGTACGAGTGCTGTTTGGAGAGCACTCGCACATCATTTCAAGCTGTGAGGTATCCCGAAGTTGGTTCGACTCTCGGAGCACTCGAAGATAATGTGGGATCATTGTAGGTATAACCCCATCCACCCAGCGTCGGTATTGAATGATGTGCTTAGCTTCGCGTGGTTTGGCTGGAGACCTCGACTTCCTCGGCGACAAGGTCGGTTGACGGCGCGGTGACGAGAAAACTGCAGCCCTTCGAACACGAGATCTGTCTTGGTAGTAACCACCCGAGGGCGCCGATATGTCCACAGGCATCGGTAATCGGTGAGACGCAGTTCCGTACGCCCGGCGTGTTTTGGTCTCGACCTTCTTCAACATTGTCCAGTTCCTGTGGAGTTGTCAGTCGATACGTAGAAACAGATAGGGTTAGAGGTAGAGAAAAGGGCGAGACAGAGAGACACACGAGGCCAAGGACTGCACCCTTTGAGCATCATGGCAGGCACGAGTTCCACAGGCACGAGGTAGAAAGGCCAAGAAATGTTTTGTATTTGATGCGTTGGTAATGCCACGTGTACTGTAAAGTAGAAGACTAACAAGAGACGATGAATAACGGCAAGAAAGATGAAAGCAAGAAACACTTACAGTAGATTAATGGAATTGGTATGGTCGTACGTCCAGAGGGACCTTGCGCTGCAGAGAGGCCGGAGGAAGACGACGAGGTGCGATAGGGGCTCGTCCGAACTCCTCGAAGAAAGTGGCGCAGTAGTACTTCAGTACCTTGCTCTCGAGCGCGTCGACGTCAGGTCGTTGAATACTTGATGTCATCTTGATATCCTTGGGGCAGCCCTCCCAATCCTGCATCAACTCCGCCAAACGGTTAACAACGAGTCGCCGAAGGAGATGGTCGTCCGAAGCCCAAGGCATATTCTCATTCGGGATCTGCTTTAGGAAATAGGCCGGATACGCCTCATCTTGAATCAACCCAAAGCACCGCCGGACTTGGATGTCTCTGGCTGATCGAGCCACATCGGCCTCATCCCTCTTGTTCTTCGGCGCATCCTTGGCGGCTACGGGCCATTTAGACAGGGCCTTAGTTCGGTCAAGGTACAGTAGTTCGAGTCGAAAGCAAACTTCGTGTATCTCCCAGACAACCTCGGATAAGATGGAGGGTGTGATGGATTTCTGAAGTTCAGCAGGGGATGCATCGAGCGATATCTTCAAGTCCCCATAGGAAACTGATGACAAAGAGGATGCAATGGACAGCAATTTGATGAAGTGTGCTTCCTCACTGGTTCGCTCTGCTGCCTTGGTATTCGAACTTGAGGGCTGGCGTTGGGATGGAGTGGACGAAGACGCTGCCGCGGAGGACTTGTCACGAAGATGGTTTCGAAGGCGCACGAAGTGGCCCTTCCAGAACGCGTTGGTGAGGTCTGGAGCATCGTCTTGAGACGAAGATTGGAAGAGACTGCCGAGTTGGGTGCCGCGACTCAAGAGCCAGGCTATCACGAACACTTCTCTGTCCTTCTCCTTCGTGAATAGCCAAGGATCGGGAACGCCAAAGCCCAGCTTCCAGCCCTCTCGAGGGTATCGTGGCTTTGTCGTATCGACTGCGTTCAGAGCAGTCACCCAACTGGGGATGGAGGGAGGCCAGAAGTCGAGAGTAATGTCTTTGAAGCGTTGCAGCTGTGGTGCTTGTAAGGGAGGAAGAGGCCTGGTCCGTGGCGATTGGACGACTGAGGAGACAGAGGATGAAGACGACGAACGCGAAAGCGAGATTCGGGAGGACTTGACCGAGGATGAAGACGACGAACGTGAAAGCTTAGGTGGGTTAAGGGTCATTTCGACTTGAGGATCTGGAGTTAGGTTATGGGATTAGCTTCAAATGATACAACAAAACAAGGAAAGAATTATTACTTACACGGAGAGGTTCGATGCGAAGTTTGGTGCTTGCGGATAGGGCCGACTGTTTGCGAAGTCGCAACGGCGGCGCTGGTAGAGGCAGGTTGCAGCGCGGGGTGCACGAGAGATGGTTGGCGCACAGAGCCGTCACTCGCAATCGTCCCTCGCGCGGACGGTAGACGCAAGTCGACCATTGAGCACCCGAGACGTTGCTGGGCCTGGTAGATCCATGGCCCCGGGGGACCTTCAGCTACAGGAGGATAGGGTGAGATAGTGGTGCCTTCGGCGTATTGCTGTGTTTGCACAAGCGGGGGCATTGGCGCGACTTCGCCGTGGATGACACTGATTTGACGGTCCCCAGACGCCATAATAGTGTACGAGGGCCTCAGATAATATACAGGGATGCCCATTCGGTAAACTTGGCAAGCGACCTCGAAATCTTCCGTAAAGCATCCAAGACGATTGTCATCGACCTCAGGGGGCCGTTCGTCAGGTGCCAGTGGCTTGCGCGCGCGAGGACCAAAGATGAGGGTGTAGTCCAGCCAACCGTGGATGTCGAGACATGCAGCTTGAAACTCGGCGTTGTATAGTAGAATTTCCTTGTACGTCATGCCGCAGGTTTCCAGGCGCAAGTAAACATCGTTCATATGTGCGACCATTGCCCGAAGGTAACCGTTGGTGGAGAGGGGATTGGCCTTGTGATAATCTTCTGCTTTGGCTGCGTATGTCTTGCGATACTTGTCGTATTCATCGAGGATAGTTCGCTTGAGAAACCTTATGTTTTCGGCGCCGTTTTGGGCAACAATAGGGCAGTCGGAAGCCGGCGGAGTGTAGCGAAGAAGGCGCATTTCTGGCACTTTCTTGGGAATGCAGCAAGCGTAAACGAAGCCGTCGCAAAAGTAGATTGGGTATTGGGTGCGATCGTCCACCCCATACCTCCCATCCGCGCGAGGTTGGATTACACGCCATCCTCGAGGAACCAGAGGAATCCGGTCCATGTTCGGGGAGGTGGCGACCCAATACCAAACTACATCCTTCCCTGTAGCCGTGACGGTGGACTCGCCAGCACGCGAGGCGACTTCCTTGAGTTTCAGAGGTTCGGGGATTATGTAGTAGACGATGGCATCGGCGGCAGTCCATAGCACTTTCGGCAATTGTAAGCATAAGTCAATATAATGATAGGAGTGGATTACTTTTTTTCTCTTTGTTATACCGTACAAACTCGCGGTACACGGGTTTCGACTGTAAAGACATCTTCACGCGACCGACAGGTTCAGAGTCAGAGATATCAGTCTGCCAGAAGTAAACATGTCAGTAACTGGGCGTGCAGCCACCCCTGCCGACGACGAGAAGCCAGAGCGCCCGACGGTGAACAGGCGTTTACAACTGCCGGTCAAAGGACCACCTTCGGTGAAGTGCTTTGGCGGACCACGTTGTTGAATGCACAACCTTCGGTTAAGTGCACTCCACTGGGTTCTATCAGAGCTCGTCTGAGCACAACCTTCGGTTAAGTGCTCAGGCAAGGTGACAGGGAAGAAGCGCCCACGACGAACCACAGAGCAAGTGAACTGCCGGTCAAAGGACCACCTTCGGTGAAGTACTTTGACGGACCGCCTTGTTCAATGCACAACCTTCGGTTAAGTGCACTCAACTGGATTCTATGGCACTCATCTTGTATGAGCACAACCTTCGGTTAAGTGCTCAGGCAAGGTGCCAGGGTGGAGGAAGTATGGAGGGGAAGAGGACAGAAGAATAATACGAAATAACTTACCAAGGATAGTATAGCGTTGAAGTCGTGGTGAGGCGAGATGAAAGATGGAGATGAGAGTTGACTGTCAAGACAAGACTTGGCTCGAGCGCTCGCGTCACGCGCAGCCGCGCCGGCCAAGCACTGTTTCCCACGGTCAGTAAACCAAACGAGTGCGGAAGGTTGGCTATGAACCACTGACACTCGTCAACCTCCCTCCTCCCTCCCTCCTTCTTCAAAACACTCTCCTTTGGTCCGACAAACCACTCCATCTACACCATGGTAATCACAGGAACAACGAACCCGCGCCCATGAAGGAGTGCTTCCGTGAGTGACACAGTCCGAGATCGGGTATGACGTTGATCATGTTCTTTCGTGTTCCTCCCAGGCCTCTTTCTACCCCTCCACGTCGTTTTTAGGATGCTCGACCAACTTCGGATAGCATCGTATGTCCAGCGAACGCGCGTATCAAGACGTCATCGAGGATTCCTTCCGACCTGGCCACTTGACCGAAGGTCGTCGCCAGGTCGGAAGTGCATCTAATCTAGCCACTTGACCTAAGGTCGTCGCTAGGTGGGATGTGCCTGTCTTCGTTGGATTGCGACTGTGTCCAACGAGCGGGCATTTGTATTGTTCTCTAGGCGGGTAGTGACTTGACCGAAGGTCGTCGCCTTTGTATTGTTCTCTAGGCGGGTGGTGACTTGACCGAAGGTCGTCGCCTTCGCATCTAATCTAGCCACTTGACCTAAGGTCGTCGCTAGGTGGGATGTGCCTGTCTTCGTTGGATTGCGACTGTGTCCAACGAGCGGGCATTTGTATTGTTCTCTAGGCGGGTGGTGACTTGACCGAAGGTCGTCGCCTTTGTATTGTTCTCTAGGCGGGTGGTGACTTGACCGAAGGTCGTCGCCTTCGATGTCGTCGGAACTCACTCTGGTTGGACGGGGCTCAGTCCTTTGCAGCCACCTGGCTATTTGATCGAAGGTCGTCGGCAGGTAAAACGTCTCTCTCACGACTTGACTGAAAGTCGTTGTGCGTTAGAAGAATTTCATCGCAGGCAGCCGCCATATCTGGCCACTTGACCGAAGGTCGTCGCCAGAATCTTCCCGCGTCCTCCTGTGTCTCTCATTCTTTCTCATAGTTTATTGTTTATTCTTTCCAGATTCCCATTTCCTTTCCTCTCAAGAATCTCTTCTACGAATCAGTTTTTCACAATACTTCCAAACATCCAGTTCGTTACCTTTTTCTTTTTGGCAGGTCGACTGCGGTTTCCTCTCAAGAATCTCATTTACGAATCAGTTTTTCACGATACTTCCATACGTCCAGTTCGTTACCTTTTTCCTTTTTGGCGGCTCGACTGGGGGTAAAACTTCAATACGTGATCTACACCAGGAACACCGATGTGAACGCTACTCCCCAGCGTCCCTTTCTATTTCCCATCTCCTTTTCTTGACGTCGTGGAGACTGGTTGCCTTGAATAGGAGAGTTTTCACATATATTCCTTGGTTACTTTTGTCGGCCTCTCTTTACCTGCTGTTCTTTTCGTCACCTCTCTCTTTACCTGCTGTTCTTTTCGTCACCTCCTTTCACTCCTGCTACTCTTATCATCACCTTGAAGAATGGTCTATCGGCTAATCAGGTAAGTTTGTCGTACTCGCTTGCCGCTCAGGTGATGCCAATGATGCGGGTATAAGTGCCAGCTTCGGTGGCTGACGAGACGACCCCAATAGACTCTTCCCCACCTGAAACACGACACAATCCTCCCCATGATCAGAACACGTAGAGCACTGCGCGAATCGGGTGAGGAACTCCTCGAACCCCAATCCGATTGCGGTTGGGTACGTACAGGAAGAGACGGAAAGCATAGAGTGAGTGAGCTGCCTCGTTGGACAGACTTGGTATTGACAGACCTTCTTCAGCCTGCCAGGACACCGTCTCCTGTTCAACAGTAAGTCCTCATCTCATTCCTCTTCCTTGTTGTTTCCCTTTGTACCTTTCTTTTCACTCCTCATTCCCCTTCTTCATCCCTTCTCCATAGGCACTTAACCAAAGGTTGTGCTCTCCCAAACCCCTGTTCTTGCGCACTTGACCGAAGGTTGTGCTCCTGAACGTGGCGGTCGTTCATCCGTCGTCTCATGGACGCACTTAACTGAAAGTTGTGCATCCATATCGTGACGTTGCACGCCGTCGTTCATCCGTCGCCTCATGGGCGCACTTAACTGAAAGTTGTGCGTCCATATCGTGATGTTGCATTCTTCGGCGCTCCTGCTTTCTTGCCAAACGCTGAAATGAACGTCGCCGTCGTTCATGCGTCGCCTCATGGGCGCACTTAACTGAAAGTTGTGCATCCCATGTCGTGACGTTGCATTCTTCGGCGCTTTTGCTTTCTTGCTAAACGCTGACACATGTTCCTCTAGGTCTCGGCAAGGTCAAGCTGTTGGGTCTTCACCACTCAAGTCGCACGGTTTCCCTTACGTCTTGGTTCCGCCTCACCCTTCGGTGCAAAAGTCAACAAGGCCCGAAGCCAAATCTAAGCGCGCAGCCAAGTCATCCAAAGCGCGAGGCCCTTCCAAACCAGCTAAGAGGAAGGCTAAGGCAGACCATGCCGCAGACGATCCCCCTGCCCAACCCGAGAAAGACACTGCTTCGGGGTCAACTGTTGCTGCTCGCCGCGTCTCTCGAGTTCTCACCTCAAGCCCCCCCGTCACCATAGCCATTGCCGATGCGCAGGGTCGATCATTGAACCGGTAAGCCCTGGCACATCAACTTTGGTGAGCTTAACTAACCGCTCCAAAGCCGCTCAAGTACGGAGACCATTCAGGCGCCTTCCTCTCCCACTACTGCAATCCGCCGACTCAATGATGGGAGCGCTTCAGCTGACCGTAACAAACAACCGAGCTATGATGCCTTTGGTCCGTGTCACGTTGCATGCTTGGTCAAGTGTGGGGACTGACTCTGGTCTTTAGACGCTGAACTTGGAGACTACGGCTACGAATTTGCGCCCTACGTGGAAATTCCTGACGCCGTTCGAGATGCTTTGCCTGACCCCGTCCCCGGCGCTACCGCGTCTCGAGAGCTGGTGCTTCCGCCTGCTTCCCGCATCCCAGCCCCTGACGAAGCTGTACATTTCTTCTATGGAAGGAACTGGAGTTGTGGGGCGTTTTCTTCTTCGGTTGGAGTCCTGGGACGAGGAAGGCAAGGGACCAGGCTGGCTCGCATGCAAAAATATGTCACAGTTTTCTCTTGGTATAACTCGCAGTCCAAGCAGTGCGAGCAGCTCCCTGACGGGTTCACCATTCCTGAACCGCGTTGTCGAATTTCTTTGAACCAGTTGGAAGAGTCAATCTACGACGCTATCCGCCGCAATAGCGACTTGTTACTAGGCATGGAAAGAGGCTTAGGAGTTCCGCGTAACGGCAACCCCGAATCTCCTCCTGGTTTCAGATATTCGTACGTTTCAGGTCGGCCCAATGAGGAGGATCATCACGGCGAATCCATGGAAGACGAGGGCAGCGATATCGAACGTGCGGACGACCGCTTCTCCTCTCCTCCAGCATTCGACCCCGCCGAAGATGGTGACGACAGCTTTGGGAATTGGGATGAAGGCGAAGAGGAATGGGAGGGGTGCGAGCATCCGTCCAATGGCGCTGGTAACATTTCGGAACAAGAGCCAGAGTTCGAGGACTTGCCTTCATCGAGCGAAGACGGGTCGGCGTATTCCCCTTCTCAAGCTAGTGAGCGGGGTGACTCCTCCGGTCCTGGGGAAACTGCCAACACAGCACCCCACAGCAGCTCGCCAACACGCCAGTCTCCGATATCCCAGTCTCCGCCGCGTCTCACTGCCAAGCAGAAGGGAAAGGGTAGGGCCGTTGACAATCGGTCTCCTAGTCCACCAGCACCCGCAGGCCCGTCCGCCCCTAAGTCTAAGTCTCAAGCTTATAACCCCCCTCCAACCCCATCGTTCAAAAGGGGAAGATACGACAAGGACGAGAAAGAGATCGCAGCCGAAATGCGCGAATGGCTGGAATTCGGCGCCAAGTGCTGCAATCGGTCCCCCGATAGCTTCCTGACGCTTATGGGCTACCCTCGGACTGGTGAAGGCTTGCGAAAATCTCAGTGCTGGAACAAATTCCGCCAGTGGAGGAAACTGCAAGCTGAGAACGGCGAAGCCGAACGTAAGGCATCCGCTTGCATTCAGCTTTACACACTTGCTGACTTATCCCAGACTTATCACAGGAGGAGATGTTTGAGATATACAACCGGGATTACAAGGGCCTAACGAAAAAAGACAAAGAAATCAAAATCCAGGAGTGGTCTGCGGATATTGAACGGTGGGACAAGAAACCGGTCGCGCAACAAGACAAGGAGTTTCTACAGCTAATGGAGGAGGCACAGGCTATGGTACGCCGTTTGTTAATCTTCTTATAGATTCCACGCTTACGTTGAGACTGCCCAGATGGAAAAGCTCTCCCGCTCAGGGTTGGTAGAGCCAATTCTGTATTTTTTGGCCACCGACCCCTTCTACGGCCGCTTTACAAGAGTTATGGTCGGCAACGACATAGTCCAGGAGATGTTAGACGACGGCGCTGCAAACCTTCGCCAGATCTTATCCGCGGCAGCTATAGCTGTAGCGTATGTATCATCCATGGTCTATTGAGGATAGGCGCCCTAACCACCTCCATTATAGGGCTGCAAAAACAGGCACAGTCTCGCCGAAGGATGCGAAGCTACTCCAAATACTTGGCTTGCATAACGCCTCCACCAATTCGTCTGAAGCTGCGGTTGCCGCCGACACGTCATCGACATCCGTTGTGAAAGCTGTGCCAGCATCCGCCTCGTTGAAGACCAATTCCTCCGCGGCTACCTCTCGGGCGCCAGCCTCGTCCTCAGGTAGCACTTCCAAGCGAACGTCGAAAACTCCTGGGGACAGTGCTACGGATTGGGGGCTCTACGACCCAGCCGCCGTGAAACCGGATAACGTCTCGCAGGCAGCTTGGGACGCAGAAGGGAAATTACCAAGAGATGTTTTCGACTGGGCAGAGCTGGCACAACCTGGGGTTCTGAACGTCGCCAAGTTTTGGCGACAGAAACAGTACGAGACGACTGTCGAAACTGTCCGAGATTGGGGAGTTCGCTACATGCGATTCCTCCTTCAGGTTCTCTACTGTAAGCTTTTATTTGTCTCATTATTGTTGACATTAAGCACTGACTTTACGCTTTACTCAAGGTCAAGCTACTGGATTGAAGCAGGCTCCAACCAACGGCTTTTACCAGGGCTTTGCAGACTACCTTGCAAGTAACAACAAGATCTGCGAGGGATGGCCGCCAGGCTGCGCCGTCCCTGACAGGGACACTAAGGGTTCGAAAGCTCTTACGCGACTGTGGGGTTCGGGGGCCGTTGAACTCCTGGATGTAGCATTCGGCCGGAAGGAGGGTTGGACACTTAGAATTATTGATTTTCCACCAGGTGCGTCGACATTCCTCGCCAGTCAATCGATGTTTAACCCATGTTTTTTCGTAGAGGCTCAAGCAATCGAGAGGGACGACACTGATCCGGCCTACCTTGACTTACCCCTCATCACTTGCAATGACGCCAACGGGAAGGTCACCGCTGTGAAGGCGACGGTCCGCGACGCCAACGCGTGGCACATGCAGGAGGTTGCCGCCCAAACAGCAAGGAGGAAATGGGCAGAGTTGCCACCTGAGCGCCGCAAACCTCTGGAGGCTGCATCTGCCGTGAAGAAATGGCCCCCGAAACTTCGCAAAACAGGTCGCACAGTCAAGGTCAAAAAGGAGGAGGGCGTCGAGCCGGAAGAGCAGGATGAGGATGGCGAGGGTACGAATTTGGAGGAGTTTGATGTGGAAGTGGAAGACGGAGACAGGATGGACGTGGATGCTGATGAGAACGACCCTCACCACAGGGATGTAGTTGAACCGCCCCGCCATCCTCAGCCGGGTCCCTCTACGCAAAGCATCCCCGTCTACACTGGCGGCGATGATGACTACTATGACGCTGACGAGTTATTCAGTGGCGGCTATGACGAAGGCGGGTACATGGTAGAAGGGGAAGACCAATACATGGCGGAAGACTTCAGCAATCCAGAACAGTATTACGACGATCAGCAACAATTCAACGGCCATGAGATCGGTCGTTACCATCACCGCCCGAACCCTCAATATACACAGACTCAACACGTCAGCGAGTATGCTCAGCCTCTTCGTGCGACGCAAACCGAAACCCATCCACGCCACCTCATTGGCCAATCTTCCCGCGCTTTTCGTCCAACTCTAGCGCCTCAACGCCACCCCAACGTTTACCCAATTCACGCAACAACTTCAATCAACAATCCAACTCCTCGTGTGTTCTCGAATCCTCTGCCGGCCCAGCCTCCTGTGCGACCCACTACCCATCGCCATTTCACGCAGTCCCAGGTCTTGGACCATGTCAAGGATATGTTGAAGATACCAGGTTCTCCGATGAAGCGGAAACACCAAGAGCAGCGCATGCGTCCCGAAGGGCAGTCTTCCCGGCCTGCATCTGCAGTTCCATGGCCTTCAACTCGACACGCCGGAGGAGCTCACACTCTTGGGCAACAAGGAACTCGTGACGACCGCCCATTGAAACGAGTTCGTGTTACAGGTAATCATTGTTAAGGTTTCCTCCAGCTTGAGTTATTTCGTGTTACGATTTTGACTTTCCGTTACGGTTTGTCTATACATTTGTTTCTATCCATTGACTATTAGATTTGGCCAAGTGGTCTATACATTTGACTTTACGTTACGGTTTGTCTATACATTTGTTTCTATCCATTGACTATTAGATTTGGCCAAGTGGTCTATACATTTGACTTTACGTTACGGTTTGTCTATACATTTGTTTCTATCCATTGACTATTAGATTTGGCCAAGTGGTCTATACATTTTACCTTTGAACTGTGCTTTTGACTATACATTTGATCACCTTTTAGTTGCATTCATTGTTAAGATTTTAACTATCTCGAAGTAGTCCGATGTTCCATTGGGAGTGGAACACTTATGACCTTGGGCTTGGGGTCGAGGTTCCAGCGTGAGTTTGGTGTTCCATGGGAGGTGGAACACCCCTATATGAAGTAGTCCGATGTTCCATTGGGAGTGGAACACTCGCGTATCTGAGTGTACCATGTTCCATGGAACATTCAGGCTGGAGTCTGGGGTTCCATGGGACGTGGAACATCCAGTATATGAGGTGTACCATGTCCCATGGAACATTCAGGCTGTTGGGGTCGAGGTTCCAGCGTGAGTTTGGTGTTCCATGGGAGGTGGAACACCCCTGTATGAAGTAGTCCGATGTTCCGTTGGGAGTGGAACACTCGCGTAACTGAGTGTACCATGTTCCATGGAACATTCAGGTTGGAGTCCAGGGTTCCATGGGACGTGGAACATCCAGTATATGAGGTGTACCATGTCCCATGGAACATTCAGGCTGGAGTCTGGGGTTCCATGGGACGTGGAACATCCAGTATATGAGGTGTACCATGTTCCATGGGACATGGTACACTTCTGTATGGAGTCTGGTCTTGTGTTGTGGTCTTGTGTTCCATGGAAGGCCGAAGTTCCAGCCTGGACTATACTTGTGAATTGGCAGTGTTCCACCTGAAGGCCAAGGACCCATACCCAGAGTCCCATACCCGGCAGGGTTTTGAGCTTTGTTTCATGCATACCCACAGTTTGAGCTGCAGTTCATCCGCGTACAGTAAGGCTGTCCACAAGTCGATCAGGAGTCAGAAGTAAAGACGGACCTGCCATGCGAGTACTCGCAGTAGCAAAATCGAAACTCGGACTCTCATGAGTCATGAGTGATGAATAGTGAAAACCAAGGGTCAGCTGACCCTTTAACCATATCTCATCCATTTCTCATCCATTTTGGATGATCTAAAGCTCAACCCGTGCGGAAAACCCGTCGGGTTACGCGGTAGGGGTCAAGCCACGGGTCGGGTCCGGGTCGACCTTCCGAAACCTGGGGTTAACCCCTGGTGATCACTAGTGATGAATCCACAAGTCAAATAGTCACAAGGACTCGGACTTGTATGAGTATCTTGGCATGGGTGACTTGGACCTGTGAGTGGGCAGGTTGAGAGGTGCGCGCGAAGTGTGTGGCACGAAATCCCGTGACCGTCCACCCAACAGGCCAAGGATACTTGCCATTTAGCGGCCCACATCCCACTAGTTCCCACATGCCTATTTGCAAGTATGCCCATTTCCAAGTACTTGTGAGTAGGGCTAGCTTGTGGACAGCTGAACAGCCTTACCATACAGATTTCCTTATGAGTTGTTGACCAGAGGACCAACAGACAGATAAATGAATATGGGACAGGCGGATTGAAAGGCCCTGACTAGCACAGACTATAGCACTACTAATATAGGGAGCAAAGTAGCGCTTTTCAGATAAAATCTTTACATGTTCCACAGTAGGACCCCAGACACCCCCATCATAGGGATCAGATGGGTATTCGATTGGAAAAGGAACAGAATTATTAAAATTCCTAAGTATCCTGAAGGAAATAGAACAAGGACGAAAGTGATTCCCAGGTTCCGTGAGGCATGTTCCTTCGAGAGGTCTATTAGATCAATATATGGCAAAATTTAATACTCTATTAGACTACTGTTCCTAGGTGACTGAAGTGATCCTTTTCAAGACTCGGCAGCAGGTGAAGCCATTATCGACAATGTAAGAGTATATTTATGAATGATACTTCGTGCCTGACTTGGAACACCTGAAAGAGCAATTATGATTACATGCTTCAATGGGAGCCTCGAATCAACACTTACCTCTCATATTTCTACCAGAAGCCAGGGTAGTCAGTAGGGAGTAGTTGATTTAGACAGATAACCCATGATGGATTTTTGTATGTATCCAATGCTATAGCCTTGCATACCCATGGTCGCTTGTATTACGATATGAACAGCGTGGCCACGTTCAACCTACTTCCCGGAGGGGCAGATTTTTTGTTCAAAGTACATAGCTAGCGCGCTGTTAAAGCCAGGATTCTAAGTTCGTGGCTATGCTGTGCCCCCTGGATACCTCCGCCATGACTCGAGTTTGAAACCTGGCCATATGTCTGCGCTAGCCATGGCGGGGATAGAGGCTTCCACCCATGGTATCATGGATATGATGGCATTCTCGACCTCGAGACAAACACTATGTCCATGATCGTCTAAAATACCTCCTGCCGTGAACCAATATGTCTGCATCATGTCCATGACGCTGTTTACTTCGCGATAAAGCCATCATAGCCATGGCGGACTTCCCCCTGTGGTATCATGGACATGATGCAGACATATTGGTTCACGGCAGGAGGTATTTTAGACGATCATGGACATAGTGTTTGTCTCGAGGTCGAGAATGCCATCATATCCATGATACCATGGGTGGAAGCCTCTATCCCCGCCATGGCTAGCGCAGACATATGGCCAGGTTTCAAACTCGAGTCATGGCGGAGGTATCCAGGGGGCACAGCATAGCGAATTCCACCACATTGGAGCTTCAGCTGCTCGAGATGGTCATTCTGGCATACGATGGCATTCTCAACCTCGAAATCAACGCCATGTCCATGATCGAGCTAAATACCTCTTGACCGCAGCCACGGTAGGCTTGCAACCAACATGCTTGTGAACCTAGGATCACACTTCGATGCCGATGCAGTGCCCATGGCCGCAGTGATGCATACCTAGGGCTATCCTCTATCCTCGATCCCAAACCCATATCCAACCGACTACCTACATGGCTAGGAATCCATCATCGGCCTCGAGAACATCGCCATGGACATGGCGCTCCGCTCGTGAGTACTACATACATCATGGCCACGGTATTAACCTCGCACCACCGAGATACACCATGTCCATGGTGACCTTTTACGATCCTCTACCGTGGCCATGGCCCTCGTCGGTACATCCATGGACACGGTATTAACCTCGCACCACCGCGCAACGCCATGGCCATGGTGCTGGTGAGTGCATACACCATGGCCACGGTCTTAACCTCGCAACACCGAGCAACGCCATGTCCATGGTGACGCGTTACGATCCTCTACCGAACACCACAAGGGGTCGATCACCAACTGCAACAACATGGCCATTGTATCGGTACGTACATGCACCATGGACATGGCGCTATCCTGCACAGTCGAGAACAACGACATGGCCATCGTCTTGCCATCTACCACCGCAGTCCAGCCTCGTTGACCAGCCCACCATAGACATCGTAGCCATGGCTGTGTACTTTGACCGTGTCTATGACGACCTCCCCCATTCTCTATCCTCAACCACAACACCATAGCCATGGCTCAAGTAGCCTGCACCTTTACCAGAGCTATGACGTTCACCTCTCCTGATAAGTTCGACATCGTGTCCATGGACGCAATGGTCAGTGGTCACTTTAGGGGGCACAACGACTCCACAATACAAGCAAACAAAATCAATCTGCACAATTACCTTGCCCATCGCACAGATGACACTTACCCACTTCCACCTAACATGGACAGTGACCCCGACCGAACACCACCCGGCCTTGCACTCCTTGACCTCGAAACAGCGACAAACCCAGCCGTTGACGCCGCCTTTCAGCTCGAGGCTGATTACAGTCGCTTCGACCGTTGGGCCCTCCAGTTCGACAAGGGTCATACCTTTCCTCCTTGCGGCAATCCGCAATGTAGTAATGGGTGCTCTGGCCCTGTCGATGAAGGGATGTGGTGCCTTCCGTGTTGGTTGGATCACGGCGCGGGCTTCGAGAAATGCAAGCTGGTGGACGAATACCTGAAGCAGACGCTGTGCGAAGAGGGATACCTCACCCCGGAAACGGCCCCGGCGTTTCTCGAGGACTATTGGAGGATGAAGAGCGACGTCATGCTAGAGGAAACACCGTCGACTTGTCTCGCGGGGCTCGATGGCCGCGTCACCCATGGTATGTTTTTCTCCGCGCTCCCAGATCCCTACTAACCGCGTGTTTAGCTCTTGACAGGGCGTCAGACCTCCTCTCGCATTCCCGGGACCTACTTTTAAATCCATTGTTACATGCGCGTCGCTGCTCTCAAAAGCTCGCTGAGCTGGAGGAGGTCCTCGCCTCTCTCAGAAAAGAGAACATTCGCATCGCTAACGGTGGGTATCCTAATGATCTACAATTGCCGCTCACATCTGATTTCTCGACACACACAGCCAACCTTCGTGCTCGCAAACGGTGGATGTACATGAGCGACGTCGTTGACCAATCCATTACCAAGTTGTATGCTAAGAACGTGGAACCTCGCAAGGCTTTGGAGGAAGGGAGGGAAACTCTTTGGCGATGTCAGTACATGCGGCTGCTTTTGGAATCTTGATATGTTGTATCTTCGTTTTGGTGATTACTAGTTGTACAAAGAATTCGTCGCTTTTGCTCACACTCGGATAAAAAATGGCAGCACTAAGTAGTGTAATCACCTCCCTCCCATGCTAGCCATGATTCCTTGCCCGTGCAGACCATAGCCACAGTGTCTGATGCGAAGGCTGTTCCGATCCCCAAAGCCACGGTGACAATGTTCCAATGTCGTAATCAGTCTCCTTCATCATGGCCACGGTCCGCCCCCCTTAAATTCCCAGTCACGCCATAGGCATGATTCCTTGCGCCGATCGGCCATACCCACGGTGTCTGATAGGAAGCTTTGCTCGCATCACCGAAGCCACGGCGACAAAGTTCCACAAGTCGTGGCCACGATCTCTTCTCATAAAAACCCCAGCCGAGCCAAGAAATGGCTCCTATGACCATTCCGTGGCTACGATAGGGGCGAAGGTAGTTAACTGATCAGTCTCTTCTTGAACCGTGCGTGGTAAAATTTAAAATTGTACTAAAGCGAGACCACCCTCCCAGATAAATACTTTCCCCAACACCCCAACTTCCCCTTCATCGACATCCCTCACTCGTTAATCATGGCCCCTCCTCGTGTTCGTCAGCAATACACCCTTCCCCCAAATCTCGAAAGGATGCACCTCTACGCTCTCTTCTGTCACCATGCGTTCCATAAGCGCCTTCGTCCTGCACATCGGATCCCCTCCAAATGCAACGACATCGATCTTCGCATACGGGCAGAGCTACTTCAAATTGTTGAAGTCGTTTTTCAGGCCACAAACAACGTCCGTAAGTCAATCCCCTTTCTCCTTCTCTCTTCCATTCTGACGATTCAGGTCAAATGCCATGGTGTTTCAAGGAGGCCGTGCAGCTCCTTCAGCGAGATTCACGCCGACGAGATGGACAGGAACCCAATCCACTTCCTGGGTCAGGGGGTCCCTGTAAGATCACGGTTGCCCCCTGCGTTTATCTAGATAAGAATCAAGTCGTCGTCGGCTGGCATTTACCGGAGGCTCTTCAAAGCGCACGACTAGTGAGTATTTATTTTTCCCCTTTTCTTTATGCCCCAGACCTACCACAATTATTGCAGGTCAGCTGGTACTCTGCGCTCGAATCAGCGGCAAGGGACGGCAATTCACCTTTCTGGACGTCGCCAGAGGGGGACTGGAGATCGAACGAGGAATTATTCGAAGATTCTCCCAACTTCCCTTTCGGTCATGTTGACCTTTCGCCCGCCGGATTCTACCAGGATAACCAGGTAAGCATGTTATATTCCATTGAGCGCCGATTACGCCCCGCTGAATGCCATTGAATCTTGCTTCGTACACCCGCACTTGTCGTAACCAGGTCAGTGTCGGAAACCTCTTTGCCACCTCATTGCTGACCTTGTATATCGAGTAGGCTATTCCTACCCCCTCGACATCCTTCACGTCCCCTGGTCGCAACGGATGGGGCCTTCTCAACGACATCCAAGAAACCTTATCGATCTTTGGGGCTGTACTTGCCATTGTCCAGCCTTCTGTGTTTTACGAGGGCCTCAACCTCTTCGAGAAGATCTACACCCGCCAAACCCAGATCGAGTCCACATGGGCTTTCCGAGACCTCTTGGCTCTCTGGGGTGCTCCCTTCACCAACGTCCTCATTTTCTCTAACCACGAGGCTCCTTTCCATCGTGACCTTTCCTCATGCCCTTATGCGTTCGAAGTGTTTGTCTCCACCGGTACGAGCCGCAATAACCGCTTTGTTATCCCTTCGTTTGACAGTGAATACTACTTTAATCCCGGTACCATCATCGTTTTTCCCCCTTACGTCTTTCAACATGGCTGGATAAGTGATGCCAGTCCTCATAATCATGCTGTTGCTGTCTGTTCGTTTCGTGAGGATATCCTCAATTTTGTGCTAGATAGGTCCGATCGTTGTTCTATAGACCATCTTTTTAATTTCGATTGCTATCCTCAGTTGGCACGTTGGTTAAACATTGACACTCCACTAGGATAGCACTTGTAATATATTATGCGGTGATGCCAGACTACGGATATCAGGCGTGAAGTGAGCTACAAATTGAAGTTATAAAGCTGCCTACACCCCTAGGCAGTGCTAAGGACGGACTCCCTGGTCTTTTTGAACATCTTCGTCGCATGGGCCAACATCCTCTTCCACATATCTCCCTGCCGATTCGCGTAGGCGACGTGTCCAGGAGAGTCCGGCTTTGTGAGTGCCCAGGTTTCGCATTGGTCAATTTTGTATGCAAAGAAATTCAACACCCAGTCCATTTCGCAGGTCAGGAGAGTGTGTTCTTCCTTCCATCGGTCGAATCGTGACTTCGCCCGCAACCAATTCACCCTGTATACTATCGAGATCAATGTAAATCTAGTTATTTCTCTGCAAGCTTAGGATGCACTTACATTCTTCCATATACTCCGATTTGCTGGAGTCATCCGCGACGTTCAGGTTCCAGATCCAAGAGAGAGGTTTGTTTCTTTGGCCGCGCTCGTTTGGCTTGTAGATAGTGGTCACTGCCCGAGTGTCTTCAGCTGTTATTGCTTTATACTTCCGTAGAATGTCCTCCTCCGCCCCCAATCGGCGCAAGGCCCAGCGAGCTTGGTTGTAGACCTTTACATGGTCACGTAGCCTGCTGTTCACAGACTTAACGGCCGTATACCCTCGTGTCTTTTGCTTCTTCCCCTGAGCGAGTCGAATATTCGATCTAAACAAGTAGGACTTGTGTCCGATCTCGTTCCTGATGCTTTCGAGGGCGTCGTCCGCTTGGGAAATCCGTAACTTGAGCTCCTTTCGCTGTGCCCGCTGGATCCCAGGCGCTATCTCCATCGTGGACGACGAGAGCGACGATGGCAGTGGTAGCCTGACGATTTCCACCTCGTTCTGAGACAAGGAGAATGGATTCTCCTCTGCATCCTCGATAACATCGTCGTCCAGAGCTACCTCGTCGGATGGAGGGTCATCACACTTGAGGGTGTCAAGGTCGGCGTCCGGGAAGAGGTGGGAAGCATTTTCGTAGAAGCTGTCGATGTCGAGGTAGAGCTGTTCACGACGCTTCGCCAACTCTAGCTCTTGAGCTTCGGTCATATCTTTAGGAAGCCCTCGGACAAAAGACTTCAAAACTATCCTGAAGACGGACCTCTATTTAGGACGATTAACATGACAACAGCGCTGTAAAAGACTTACTGTGTTTCCTGTATTTTTAGTCCAAAGGCGATCCACGATGTTACCCCAACCGCTGTTCCTGACTGCTTCTCATCCTCCATCATCCTGGTGCGTGTTTTCGAAAGTGTGGGTGCTTCGAGGCCCCTCAAGGTCAGTCCTCTGTCGCTTCCAATAACAGCAGTGTCACTCACGTTTGACTATCTTTGCGTTCAGTATGTCCATCGCCGAAATGTCACTCGCTCTCCGCCGATTCGCGTCTTCCAACTGCGATTTCCATCGTCGAATTTGCTCTGGAGTTGCGGTTTCACTAAGCAGTGCGAGGTCCTCCTTCGCGATTGCCATCTGTTTACGGCTATTCAACCAATTCTTGCAGATCGACGGTACTACAGAGTGGTATGGGTAGGGCAGTTCAACAAGGGAAGCAGCGTACTCACCAGAGTTCAACAGTTTCTTCCAGTTTATGTCTCCAAAGATGGCATCAAGAACTTCTGTGCGATGCGCTAATGTCATAGTGGATGTCGACCGAGCCACCTCGTTCACGACTGCCCATAAGGACTCAAGAATCTCGCCCGAGGAATTCCCTGCCCCTTCGATAAAGGTGAGGGAATACCTGGCGTGACAGGACTCTTGATGGCCGTGTACGTGGAAAAGGCCTATACCAAACACAAAGACCAGATCTTCGCGCAACTCCAGGTAGTCGCCCTTTTCCAGTCGGCCAAGGAGGTGCTTACTGTACTGACAGTTGATGTCGTAGGCGAAGATGACCCTCTTTGTTCCTGCCGTAGAGGTGTATTTGAGCGCTTCCGAGAGCGAGTAATCCATATTAATTTGCCTGGAAATGTTAGACTCGACGGCTGGTGAACTGTACACGGAAGGCGCACCTCTCTCCCTTTTGGAAGTCCACCACACTACCAGGTGCAAAGGCACCGTGCCTCATACATGCAATGGCACCTATTCCTGTCACGTCGAGTCCTTTCCGCACTTTCGACTTGTCTGCAATAGCGCGATGTTCGTGACAGGTAGCGGTCTAGGTTAGAGAACTTGGTAAGTACAATCTAACCGATTCAGGCGATTACTCACCTCGTTGACCTCCTTCGCAGTGCTCAGATGTTCTGCGTACCGTACTGGATCCACCATATACCCCTCACCGAGCTTCAGGGCCACTTCTTCCTCGTTTTCCCCCCTTTCTCGCTGCTTGCGATGAATACATGTGAAGTTCCCATCGGCTACAAAGCTTCGGGTATACTTCCACTGGTCCTTATCGTTCTCCCATCCCTGGGGAAGGTTGACACCGGGTTGAGGACATGCCGCACAGAAGAGGGCAAGCTCCCCTTTCCCTGGCGTCGTTCCCGAGTGGCCAAAACCGTGTCGTTTGAGTTCCTTGAGGCTCCTCCACTGTCGCCCAACCCGCCGGAGCTCTCTCACACGGTTCTAGCGAATAGAAAGTTCAGGTTTGGACTGTCGAGAAGGATTGGTACGTACTGGCACAGTATCCGGGAATGGCTCGTTAGTGAGCCGCTTCAACTTGGAGTAGAAATGGTGAGCCGATGTGAAGCATTCCACTCCGTCGAGCAAGAACTCGTCGAGCAGCGCAAATGTGAAGACTGTTCGGACATCGGTGGATGTGGAAGGATAAAATCCGGCACGCAGAAGTTGGTATTCATCGAAAGGACTGTCAATACAGTCGCAGAATCGGAAAGGGAGATGGTGGACTCCGTTAGAGTGGACGACCACCAGCACCTTCATACCACGATAGGTGCGACCAGGAGGAGCCGCATCGAACGTAAATGCGTCGTGACCCGTTTTGACCTCTCCAGGATCAGTCGATTCTTCCCCAACGCACGATTCTTGAAGGTCCATACCAGCGTCCACGTCGCACACACCGGTGGCGCACAATGAAACACTGACACCGGCCTTCCAGAGCCAACTTGGACGGAAGTATCCATCACACCAGGTCTCTACTCGGTGGAAGGGGGTTAAAGAGTGGGTATGAAGCACACAGTGGCCGCATAGGATAGGGAACGCCACGCAGGTCTTGCATCTCCACCATTCCTGCGATGTTGAAGTCGAGCAGACAGAACATGTCCAACTCGCGTCGTCTGAAGGCGCCTCGTTGTGAATGATTTCCTGTAGGTAAGTGCTTCGTTTTGGAAACCACTCGGTCATATAGTCGTTGGAGTCCTGCCATGACGCTCAAGCAAATGGCTTTCGGAAGTAGAAAACCTCAATGACGCACCTTCGTTCGAGGTTCGTCTTCTTCCTCGTGCTGGGGGTGGGGTTGGAAGGGAGAGACATAACTTGTTGCGTTATCGTCCTCGTCTGGTGAGTCGTCTTCTACCCTCCTTCTCTTGGACGGACTTGGGGTAGATTTAATTGGGGAAGGTACTGAATTTGGAACCAACTTCATTCTCGGCTTTCCTCCCTTGGTCCAAACCAATTTGGCCTCCATAGACCGGACTTTCCTTTTATCTTGTAGCCCTGTGACATTCTTGCTACTGCCAAATCCCATCGCGGTGGTGTCTGTGCGCGGCTGGTTGTAGTAGAAAAGAAAGAGAGAGGTAAGTGTAGTCTACCGCCAAAGTTCAACATATCATCGACCAATTAGGATCGCAGATCTACGATCCAGGCGAGTACGTATATGGTATAAAGCTGCCGATCGGCTATAAAGTTGCGTCAAATCCTGTTCCTTTTCCCTCACCCACCGTCGTTCAATCGATCATCTATTCCCAATTTTCAGGGCTCATTGTCGCATATCATGACCTCTGCCACCCAGTCCTCCAGGGGCCAGAATCTCAAGGCGTACAGTCTCTCAGTTACCCAAACCGCCTACCTCAAAACCAAACTGGAGGCTTACCGAATGAAGAGAAAGAGGAAGGATGACCGGAAAGGACGTGGCTTGGTGGTAAAAGAAGCGTGTCGACGACTAAAGGAAGACTGGGAGGCGATGACGGAACTGGAGATGTCTCCAGAGTTGGAGAAGAGAATGAAACGCGTAAGTTCTCATTTGTAAATCACGCGTTTTGGCGTGTCCTTTTCGCGGTGTTTGACGCGTCTGTCCTAGGCTGTTAATAAATGGTTCGAGGAGAATATCAAGTACGAAAGGGGGCCGACGAAGAAACCGTGGGGTATGCGCTGGACTGCACGCCTGGTTTTCCAGTATGAGAGATCGCGTGCGATCGGTTTCCTCGCCAAACTGATGGCCCAGAGCCCCGCTCCAGAACTGCCAGACCTTCGGGAACTGCTCGACGACGAAGACGAGGTCATTCCCCCTGAAGCCATAAGACCTGAACAAGCCGATTACGTCCCTTCGGGACCAGACGAAGACGAGGACGAGGAGTCCATCGGTTTGTCGACCCAGGGAGGTAATGAGGATGAGGGCGGCGAGGAGGAGGAGGAGGAGGAGGAGGTGGAGGAGGAGGAGGAGGAGGACCAAGGGGAGGAGGAACGGGTAGGAGACGATGAGGAGGAGCAGGACGAAGATGAGGCTCTTCTCACTCGTGCGAAGATGCTCAGCGACCAACTCGATCCTTCTGTGAAGCCCTTCGCGAAATATCAGACAGCCACCTCTCTTCTGTTCAACGCCCTCACTCCAGACGAAGTTGCGTACTACCGGAATAAGGCGCGGACGTGGTTGGCAATGGGCCCTCCCCTTGCCGAACGTCGAAGGTGCGTAAACGTCTGCGTACCATGCATGCTAATTAACTAACATCTTCGTTACTTTCAGGGTCGCGGAACGGTTCCTAAGATCGAGAATTTTCGACTTCATCGTTGGGCTAATGAACGACATGAATGCCAGGGTCTATCTCCTGGTCGGATTCGAGAAGATGGATGGTTCACGCCGTTCGTTCGATGTCGAGTTCAACAAAGAGCTCAGAGGGTGCGAGAAGTCCTTCAAGGAGACCAACCCCGCGGAGTGTGCGACGCTGAAGGGCCGGTGGGATGTGTGGGTGGAGGAGGCTTTCAACGCGCAGGAGGGGGCAGATCCCAATGCAGCGATGGATAGCTCGTCCGCGTCCAAAGGCAGACCATTGTGGACCTTGGAACTGGACGAGCACGGCAGACCCCTCCTCCCTCCATGGTCATCGAAAGGCAGCTTGCAGCCCGCAGTCTGGTTACGCCATGTCCTTCGAAGCTATCTGACTCGCTATTACGGTATGTGGTCCACAGCATCCAGAAGCATCCACGCTGATCCATTGTTCTAGTTCTCGCTAGCGGATCGGACCCTCTCCCGTCGGTGTTTCCACTCGGAAAACAACGCCCATCCGTACCTTGGACACCCATGGGGAAGGAGTACAGGCGGTACGTCGACGAGGAGTACTTCCCGGAGAACGTGCCGTTCAGGGATCCTTGGGACATCGACTCGTTGCCCCTGCGCATCCTGTACCAGCACCTTTGGAAGCGCCAGCAAGATCCGAATATTACTACGCCGTTCCTGTGGAAGGCCGTTCTCGAACGCACGAAGGGAGGGGCTACAAGACCCAAAGCTGCCAACTTCCCAAGGCAGATGGGGACGTATGTTCCTCCCCCATCCACAGAAGGTGAGCACTTAGCCTGACCTCCGGTGTTGGAACTCAGGCTGAACGTGGACTGCAGGCCGCAGGAAAGGACAGTACGTCGAGGTTGATACGGATGAAGGTTCGGTCTCGGATGACTCAGAGGACGATCTGAGGGATCTGAACCCCCAGCCAATACGAGGTAATTAAACTGATTTGGGTGTATTAGAAACTGGTCCTGACACATATACACCATGGTCTACAGTTGCCCCATCGCCCTCTCCCGATCCTGAAGATTTGCAAGAGATAACCTTCAATCGCCCTCTGTCGTCCTCACCAGTTCCTGAAGACATGCAGGGGATAGATTTGGAACCCATTGTGGTCCCGAGGCGTCCCCCATCGTCCTCTCCCGAAATGGAGGGGACTCGTTCGATGTCGTCCTCACCCATACGCGAAGATATTCGAGGAATATCTGCGGAGCCCACCGTCACTTCAAGTCGCTCCCCGTCGTCGTCGCCCGAGCCTGATGTTTTGTCAATGATCATACAGACGTCTGCTCCCACTATCTCTCCTCGGCCCCCTCGTTCGCCACCTCGCTCTCCCTCTCACTCTCGCTCCCCATCGGGCTCGCACTCACGGTCTCGATCTGCGGAGCCCACCGTCACTCCAAGTCGCTCCCCGTCGTCGTCACCCGAGCCTGATGTTTTGTCAATGATCATACAGACGTCTGCTCCCACTATCTCTCCTCGGCCCCCTCGTTCGCCACCTCGCTCTCCCTCTCACTCTCGCTCCCAATCGGGCTCGCACTCACGGTCTCGGTCGTCTTCCCCAGAACAAGATGAGCTCACGCAGATAGCACCCCCTCGGTCGTCCATTCGCTCTCGGGAACCTGAAGATTTGGGGGAGGGCTCTCAAAGGGTGGCTTCGACTAATCGTCGTCCTCCTAGTTCTAAACGGATGCTTGAGGGCTTAGCAGTGCTATCCGTTGGAGAGCTTGACACTCCCCGCCAGACCCGTAAGCGCGTTCGAGAGGAGGAGAATGACGCGCTACCACAAGCAAAGAAAGGATCAACAGGGGGTAATTCTGGTTCTCGAGGGAAGAGGGGAGGAGGAAGCAAGAGCACCTCTCGTGTAAGAACCCGTGGTAGGAACAAGTAGCATTTTTGACTAGGGTATTTGATTTTTTATTGTATTTTATTTGTTTTTCTGAATGACATTTGATTGCTCGGATAATTGTGGGCTACTTATAATATCGAACGCCGTGGCTATGGTTCAAGACCCATGTACATCTGCACCATGGCTATGCGGATGTACTCGAGGGTTTGAACGCCGTGGCTATGGTTCAAAACCCATGTACATCTGCGCCATGGCTATGCGGATGTACTCGAGGGTTTGAACGCCGTGGCTATGGTTCAAAACCCATGTACATCTGCGCCATGGCTATGCGGATGTACTCGAAGGTTGAACGCCGTGGCTATGGTTCAAAACCCATGTACATCTGCGCCATGGCTATGCTGATGTACTCGAGGGTTTGAACGCCGTGGCTATGGTTCAAAACCCATGTACATCTGCGCCATGGCTATGCGGATGTACTCGAAGGTTGAACGCCGTGGCTATGGTTCAAAACCCATGTACATCTGCGCCATGGCTATGCTGATGTACTCGAGGGTTTGAACGCCGTGGCTATGGTTCAAAACCCATGTTAATCTTAACCATGGCTATGCCGATATACTCGAAGGTTTAATCATGGACATGGTACTGTCGAGATGGTCAATTCAGGGTCGACTTGATCAATGTGGGTATGGTCTTAATCCACGAAGATGCTCGATGGACACCTCACCCATGTTATTGAAGTCTCACTTAGAGGTAGATGTATTCTCGCAATCTGAATGGTTGTTCGAAAGCGAGGTAGTTATATTATTATTAATAGTCAATGTTGTAAGTCATTATAGTACACGAATGAATAGTGCGCTACCAAACGCCGCACGCCAGCCCTACTCGTGTTCATTCCTTGGTGCTTCCTCCCTCCCCTCGGTTGATTGGGGTCGCTGATCGGGAACCCTGCTGGTGGTGCGATGAGACAGGTTCCCCTGAACTATGTGAATGATTCGGTCCGGGGTTAGGAAAGGTAGGGGCATTGGGATTGTTGAAGGAAGCCATGGGACCTTGTGGGATGGCATGATGCGCTTGCGAGTTGCCAGACTGGGGAAGAGCGATTTGTGGGCCGGGAGGATGTGTATCGGGAGGGGCTTGAGGGTGAGTGTGGGTATTAGGACCGTGTGGTGCGAGTTGATGTACTTGCGAACCCTGAGGCTGGGAATGAGTGGTTTGGGGGTTTGGGGCAATGGCTGGACGAGTATCAGGAAGGACGAGAGGGATGGGAGAATCGGAGTGGGTATTGGGTGGTTGGGTATTATTTTGGATGATGGGGTGAGTCTGTGGAATCGGCGGATACACCTCCGGATGGTTGTACAGGTGGGGTCCTGCTTGCCCAGGGTGGCCTTGCATATCGATGAAGTTGGAAACGTCGAATTCAAACGCGGCCTGCGTTGGGAGAAGGATTGGGTTACCATGATTACTATCGTCTCAAAATACGAGTAGAGCCTCACCTTTTGCGCCTTGAGCTCCTTGTCAAGCTCGGCGCACTTCCTCTCGACCTTGTCCAACCGACCGTGAATTACTTGGGAAGGTTTCTCGTTCCCATGATGCTCCAAGTCGGAGATGCGTTCCTCGAGTTCGTCGGTATAACCCTGCAGTACCTTGATCTGGTTCTCGTGCGATCGGAAAGTGAGCTGGTTGTCGAGCAGCTGCTTTCGAAGGGAGGCATTGTCGTCCAGTAGCTGACGTCGTTCTGCGTGGTAGTATTCCATAAGGGCGCGCGTCTGACCTTCCGTTTCGTTGAGTTTGGCGGATAACTGGCTGTAGAGGTGGTGGAGTTGCGCCACATCATGAGGAAGGTTTCCTTGGGGGAGGTCAGAGGAGCGCGGTAACGGGAGTCGGCGCCCGAAATGCTTGCTTTCGTCCTACACACAGGTGAGGGCTGATGACAAGCAGGAGCATGAATTACCTACATCATTTGCTTTATCTGAGTCAGGCGAATGCGACCGCAACCGTAAGACTGGCTCCTGAGAAGTTGTCAGGCCTATTGTCAACCATTTTGGGGATGGGATTAGTCACCTGGGCCGACTGATCCTTCTCTACTTCGTCGTTCGATGGGTACGAGTTGGTGGGTGGGCGTTGTTGAGGCAACGGGGAACGCTTGGGCGGGTACTACAGTGTCATGTGAGCAGAGAATGTGAAAGAGCAAGAGGTATTACTGGAACGTACTGGATTCTTATCGAACATGTTTGATGTTTTGTCGGATGGCTGGTCCGGCTTTAATGGTTTTGGAATGGGTCGGGGTCTGGGCCGAGCGACAGGTGGAGGCGTAGCTGCCTTGGGCTTTTTGGAGGAAGGTTCGTGAGTGTCGTGAGTAGATGGCTGCTCTTGGGGCGGGGCATCGTCTTCGGGCAACGGCCGCTTGCGTCCTTGAGCTGTCGACGCCATTGAGGATTTGGCCTTGCCCGAGGAATCAGAAGGCGAGGTTTTAGACCTGGTGACCGATGATTTAGAAGCGTCCTGGTCGTCCTGGAAGACCACATGCTTCTTCGTCCGACCTTAAGTGCACTGGTAAGTGATAGGATCGGACATGTCACATAACGGCAAGGGCATCACCTGAATCCTGCTTCTTTTGGGTTTTCTCAGTTTTGACGTTGGTGTTAGGCGGGACGGTTGAGGAGAGTGGATATTTAACGAGAAGAGGCGGTTTTTTTTTGAAGTCAGGGTTGTCGAGGAGCTTGAGGTCTATGGAGTGGGGGTCCTTGGAGACGCTGAGTGCGGTGTTGATCCATTGGGTATATACAGGAGAAAGATCGTCGGCAGTGAGGCTCTTGTCCTCATTGAAGTATTGGAGAAACTTGAGCTATTTCAACGGCGTTAGGCGATGGGGATGAGCTCTAAAAGGTCTGAGACGCACCGAGACTCGGATAAGCCGTTCCTTTTTGGTTTTGACCTCGTGCTCACTCCACTGAGAGACTGAGTTGACAAGGTTGTATAATTCGTCGAGCTTTTCAATGAGTTTAACGGAGGGCGCCATGGAGGAATTGCTGTTCAGGACTGGGGTCAAAATTTGAGGTGAACCTGGCTATGGTTGATAACAAAGCTGATAGCCGAAACGGGACCTTAGCCGAAAAGTGATGGAACGGGACAGTCATGGCTACGCCGACGGATCACAAAGGTGCGGGCATCACGTCACCATCGTCGTAGCCATGAGGTTGAGATGGCTGGAACGTACATGGCTTCGCAGCTCGGCACTCCCCTGTACAGCGCTGTTCTTGTAGCCATAGCGATGTCCACCACTAGTACTATGTGGCTGGGTGAGATCAGGCATGATATGTGTACCTCGTCATGGGTGGGATGGGGGAAACGTGAGTAGACAAGGGCAGCATGGTCATGTAGTGGAGTGGTACAAGGTTTATCGAGCTGAATAGGTACTCTGAGTGGTGCCATAGATATGGTGTTTGTATCGTGTAGGAATGCGACCATGGATTGCATGGCTACAGAGTATATAACATACATAATATGACCAAGGATAAACTGTATATATCAAGGGGATGGTACTGACCATTGTGCAGAAGCACGCTCGCAGGGAAGATAACGCATGTGACATATGTGGAGCAGACGAACCGTTATGGCGGTGTACCTCCTGCTTTGCAACACCAAGCCTTTGTTCGACATGCTGCCGCGACATTCATCACCGTCACCCCCTTCATCGAGTTGAAATGTGGACAGGGAGATTTTACGAACCGTCGTGGCTCTGGAAACTAGGAATCTCAGTCTACCTTGGACATGAGGGACAACGATGCCCTAGACTGCCGCCATCACAAGTTTCCGATCATACCAATGAAGAATTCATCGCCTCGTCGATATCGGATTGGAATAATCATACCGACTTTTCTTTCGGGGCCAGTCCAAAGCATGGTAAAGATGGTTGGGGTCAAGAGATGGTAATCGTTCACATTAACGGCATCCATCGCCTTGTGGTTTACCCATGTGCCTGTATTGGCGCAGCATCCCTGGACGAGCAGTGTGTGGCGGGTGGGCTGTACCCGAGTACCTTCAAGGCTGTGGAGACAGTATTCACCTATGAGCTTTTACACGACTTCAATCTCGCCTCGCTAGAATGCCGCACTTCAGCGAGTGAATACTTCAGCAAGCTGCGCAGACTCACCAATCCTGATTTCCCTGACTGTGTACCGGTGGGTATTAAGTGATGCCTTCCCACCAATCTTTAACATTGATCAGCAAAGCATAGAATCGCCATCGTGAACTTCTACGGACAGCCAGACAATTCCGACATCTAAAGGAGTTGGTGCAATTTGGGTTCACTACTCGCGAGGCTGCTAGCTCCCCTGGTTCCCTGGCGATATTCTGTGCAGCATGTCCACAGCCCGACATCAACCTTGAAGAGAATTGGGAACAGGACCGCAGAACGTTCGTCCCAAACATCTTTTATATTTCAAATCAGATTGCTAAAGTACAAATCTGTGAACAGATGGAAATTTGCCATGTCCTTCGTGGCCGACGGGAACTTCGTCTGCGTTCGGCAAAGTAAAAAAGGAGCAGGTCAGGACCTCTTTCTGAAGCGGGGCCAAGGTTACTTTGTCGAGTCCGAAGAGTACAAGCGGCATTTGCGTTCCGCTAGTGAGGAAGTCGAGGTACGGTCGAGGGCAGGTGGTGAAGTCACGGGGTTCTGATCTTTGTTTAAGCCATCCACTTGCAACGAGCATCGTGCAGTTGCCGATAAGAATAAAGGGCACAAGGGATACGACGCGACTGGAATTGGGGCTCTGGCATGCGCTCGCCATGGTGCCTTTGTCCCATCGTCAATCGTGGACTTCCAAAAAGGGGAACGCCAAATGAACATGGATTATTCGTTGTGCAAAGGGTTGAAGACTGTTGTCTCACCCAAAACAAGGTGTGTCGTCTTCATATACGATATCTGCTGCCAATATTGGAAGAACCTCCTTTCCCGCACACAGAGATACAGCCCGAAGCTTGACCTTCCCTGGTACAAGTCGATGACGTTCGGCATTGGACAATTCCACGTCCACGGCCACCAAGAGAGGTGTCTTCCCCGGTTTTCCCCGTTGTACATCGATGGGCTTGGGTGGAATACCGGTGAGATTTTGGAATCAAACTGGTCACTGTTGAACCCGACAGGGATTCTGGCGAGCACAATGACCGAGGCACATCGCCTTGAGGTTTTGGATGGCAAGCTCCTGGATCTCAATTGGAAGAAATTGACCAACCTCCGTGAGTCATCACCGCCTGTTTAAATGTAGCGGTAATCAGGCGGTTGTCGGCCGCTGGCGGTACCCGAACCCGAATGACCACGGCGGGGCGGGCGGCCGACCCATAAAATAGCCGCCTTGATTAAACAGGGGCCACCCCCGTTAGACTATTTGCCTGATGGTTAACTTACAATCTATCTATTTTAGATGTGTCGCTTCCGGGCCTACTAAAAACCGCTTTGACGAACCTTTTGGAATTCACCGAGGCCGTTGAAATGTTGAAGTCGTCGGCAACAGCGGACCAAAGGGCGGAATGGGATCAACAACTCAAGGAAGCTCAAAGGAAACGCGAGAATCACGTCCCAGAAGCCATGGATATCTTGATGTCAACGATAGATAAAGGTAAAACCATAATGAATAGAAAGGGGTATAGCGGCTGAAATCGTCCGAAACCCAAAGCACCATCTCGGAAAACTGTCGAGGCGCGCCTCATAACGGAAGAAATCAATTCGAGTCGAAATGTGGGAATGACATCGTGGATTCAAAAAGGAATTCTAATTCAGGAGTTGCAGTATGTGATACTATCTGCTATAAAATTCCCCGCCTGATGACTGTCTAGGATCGATACAATGACTTTGGCAAAGGATCTTGGTAGCACACCTTCTGACTCAAAACAGTTGGACTTGGAAAGGAAACGTGCCGCCCTCAAGCTTAAACACGACGAACACTTCGAAGAAGGGCTGATGTTATTTCCAGTCCTGGCGCCCAGTAAGGCGGACGACTCCGACCCGCGAGCACGCTTTTTCCTCGCCCCTATACGCGAGCCTTGTACTTGCGAAGAATTCGAATGCGGCCATCTAGACATGAACATTAATCCGTTTCAGGAGTTGCAGAAGGGCCCTTTGGAGAAGTTGGCAGTGCTGCTGCCGTCCTCAGAACCTCATGCAGGCTCCATATTTCCACAGTCTGCCCGCGAAGCGGAATTAGCCTTAAGGAAGGCCCAGGCGGACGAATCGCTGGCCAACATTCGGACTCAAGTCGGGTATAAATCGTTCTTGTTCAAAGCTAACGTCCAACTCGCGGAGAACAAAGCGCAGAAGACCCGGGGATATGCTGCCGTTTCGTCGGCGGAAAAGGCCATTCAAAGACACACCAGGGTATACAACCAGGCACAGTGGGCGATCACGCAACTCACCGACGATCTCGCGGTCAAGGACAAGTACCGCCCACTTCTTAAGGGCGATGCCAAACCGCTTCAGTCGATCTACCAACCTAATGCACCGGGACAGAGTCACGAGGTAGTCAGCTGGATCTGGGGGTGGAAACATACGGGCAATACCGACAGCCCGGAATTCCTAGCTGAGAGTGGGTGCGATTGTATTTTATTGCCTGCATCCGCTCACGACTACCGCCCAGTTTGCCGCCTCAATTGGCTCCGAACGACGTCCCGCCTCAAGCGGTGGGAGGAGGAAGTCCTTCTTGTGCGTGCTGAAATGGGATGGACGGTTAGATATATGGAAAGAAAGGCAGATGAATGGGAGGGTAAAGGTGGAGTGAGCAACAGTGCGGGAGTGCAAGCGGTTGCCTCATGTCAAGCCGCATCATGGCGGAAGTTGGCGTTCCAAGCCAAGGCGGCTTTTAAGGATTTTATGGACTCAACCCATTAAGGATTACGCTAAATGCTCTACGCATCGGCGTCCGGTACCCGCCTAATAGTACCCCGCTTCTGATAGCCCCCTGAAAATAACCCGACTGATATCCAACTGGTTCCCGCCAGTGAATCGGTATCCGCCTTCGATGCCCGCCTGAAAATCGGAGTTCAAGTTCGGCAAAAGCCGATCGTAGACTTTCCATCGATTTCGTTGTTCATTTTCGTTGTTCATCAACTATCATGGACTTCAAGTATAGCCCTCCGGGCAACTCCCCCGAGCTTGTAACAAACATGTTTACCGATCTCGACAACTTCGACGGGGCCACGATGCAACAATTCATGTACTATCTCTCTTCTCGTCTTCGGGGGGCGGGTCTCGCATACGCCCACCAATTCGCAAAATTGACCATCGATCAAAGGGCGGAATTTCTCAGAATTCTCTTCGAGGAAGTGGTGTGTTTGACCACTATCTTTACTTTGCGAATACGAAATCCTAACCTTATCTCAAGACTTGGGTAACCACCCTCTTTGGATTTGCGGCCGCCCGTTTTCCAACCATAAAGCCCGGCGACACTCATCGAGAATTGACTTCCCTTGTCGCCTACCTCCGCTTTGGTGACCCAATGCCTATCCTTGCCGCATGCACCGCCAACAACGAGGAAGTACCCGACCGTCTTCTCGCACATTTTGAATGCAATTGGTGGGAACCCTTCGACCCCACAAAAAATTGGGATGCCAGCAACGTATCATTTATCGCAAAGACATTTCGCCATCAGCGCCATTTTCTTCTCCCGCTCAACAAGCCCCCGCTTCCCAGCAACCGCCTGGCGGACCTGAGCACCAGGCAACTCGCCCAATGCGCTGACTCCATCGCCAAATGCTCCGAAATCGTCGCCAAAGATATCGACCTCACCGCACGAGAAATTTCTAAGGCGGTGAATCTCTTCTGCCGTTGGAAAGCCCTCTGCGTCAAGGCTAGGCTAGAAGAGGACCGTCGCCGACATGCAGCTCGGGTTGAGGGACTTAGCAAACATGGGCTGTCGCGGGATGTGGTGGCGGATGTCTTGGCGTGGGCAAATCAGATAAAGAATCAATGAGTCAATAGTAGCGGTGTAATTTAGTACTACCACTTGGAAGCGACGTTCTTGCCTGCATGCCTAAACCGATATCTTTCGCCACTTTGTCTGAAGATGAATGGATTTCTTTTCATGATTTCGTCGCGATCAGACTACAATTGGCATTCACAGCCTTCGCCCGTGACCCTACCGGCCGCCTTTGGAAATCCCGACAAAACCAATTTACTGCAGAGTTCGTAAGTAACTTTTGGAACTGTTATAGATCGGTTTGAAACTCATCTATTCATCTATCTATACACATAGCTACAGGCGTTGCATTTCGTTGGGATGTCCCAAATGTTTCCGATGGGCGACTACGTGAACGAGTTCACCGCCAAGCTAGTTGAGGATTGGGACGTCATTTTCGACGAGGTAGAAAAAGGGTCCCGCCCCGACTATTCAAAGGCGGAAGGATGGCTTATAGATCCACTGCCATTCCATGAGGTGATGCCGCTGGCCTGGTGGAAGGTGAGAGGAACCTTGTCTCTCTACGACCGCTTCTGAAATGTGATTCAGTGGAATGGTATTGACCTGGAAGAGGATACAGCCGCTGGTCACCCGCCCCCAAAGCACTTGAACGGCATACAGGAGTCCTTAACCGCCTGGAGGGCTTATTGCACTCTCCTTACCTCTCAGGGTCCGTCCGTCAGTTACACGCCAGACTATACCGACTCGATGGCCGACTGCCTGCAAGGACTGGCTAGTTATCGCGATGGAGCGGCCGACATGTTAGACAGCAACTCTCAGTCGGTGATTCCAACCCTTCAGGCCGCGGTCAACCGCATTTCGGACATCTGCCTCTACCCACTCTATCTGGGGTGGCATCACATTGGCTCCAGGGAAACCACGCTCGCTCGACGGAAAGAATATTACAGGAGGCGGGAAATAAGCGGCATTTCTGAACGCGGCAATTCCGTCAGATCCGCCCCCGCCCGATTGAATACCGCCACGTTGGCAGCAGAATTGCCCGCCCGATGGAATACCGCCACTTCGGAAGCGCAATTCCCCGCCCTGAAAACGCCGCATCTCCAAGAGGACAGCTCAGGCAGCGTTACCATTTAGATCTATGAAAGAAAAACGTTTAGAAACTGTCTCTATCTAAATACCACGTCTTTCCGCCTCTGGTACCCCCAACCGCTCCTCAATACTATGGACCGTCTCAGGTCGACTGGCATGCGCGCGCCACTCCAGGATGTACTTCAACACCTCGGGCCTCATAAAGCTCGCGAGACAGATCCTTTCACCGTCAACCTCAGCAACACCGTGCTCAAGAACCTGGCTAAGAATGAAGGCCATAGTTCCCCGCTCGTATCTAAAGTGGCGGCCGACCCTTTTCAACTCTAATCTGCCCCCTCCGTATCTCCCGACGGTAAGAAGACAATCGTACCAATTAGGGTTTCCGAGTGTGTCAAAATGGAAGGGTGTTTCACGGTTTGAGATGACCTGGGTGACCGTAAACGGGGACGCCCAGATCCTCAACACCCCAGCCATAAGCTCGGCGCATTTCGGAGCGGAACCTTCGCAATTGGTCGCCGCCAGCTTCTGCCACGTTTCTACGCCTTGTTCGTATTGCGAGGGATTCAGAACGTATAGGACCGCTCCAATAAGACTAAACGCCTCCCGCATCGCCCTCACGAACGGAATCCCACCGTCCTTTCCGTCGCGTCGGCGGATGGAAGCGGAAACCATGGGCTTATGCTTCGGTGGCTAGGTGGTCAATTGTTCAGCCCGGGCTATTCACAGTCATATTATTTTTGGTCACTTACTGGGTGATTTTGCATGAACCAACAGGGGGAGAGGCTGAGCACGCCAGGTGTAAATTCGGACGTGGATGTGTCTTTAAAATACTTGGCCTGACTCCTCCAGGACCCGTCCGTCTTTACCTCCATCTTTGAATGGGGGGCATTGACGAGGTCCCTACATGCCTCCTCCACTATATCAAGTTGTACAGCGGTCAGGACGCGCGGAAGGTGGAGGAAAAGGAGACGACCGTTGCGATCGCAAACGTGGGCTGGCCCGCTGACTAGCTGGCTGACTCCATCTTCTTTGGGAGGGAATTCGGGATCGACCCTGTGCTGCGGGTTCTTCGCCTGTGCTAAGAGATTTTCGAAGGTTTCATTGATGACAACTGCGCCAAAGATATTAGAGGACGTTAATCAGTGCGCGCGCGTAAGCAAGTCCAGGATGGAATTACTTTGATTTTTGAGTGCATCCATAACAATATTTGAAGCAAGGTAAAGTTGTAGTCGGTACTCTATTGCGAGATGCTCGCTGTGCGGTTGCGGCTTGGTAGGGGCGGTGTACTTGGTGAAGCAGAGCGCATGGAAGTAACTAGCAGTGTGGCCAAGGAATTCGAGCGCTGAAACCGGGTCATCAATGCTGAGGAGGTCCACTTCTTCCGTGTGCGACATGACGGTTGGGCTCCAACTCCAATGAGTCGCCTCTTCTTAAGTCGACGTGATGCTGCCTCGTTGTTTACGCGCGTCCCTGGCAACCCTGACAATCGGTTGGGGTTTGGGGTATTATAATTGGATACTAGACTAAGGATGTTAATAATATTCCAGCTTTCTGACCGTCTGTTTCACGACTGAGACGTCTCATGGTCTCAGAGGGGAGTTCTTTGAAAAACGTGAGTAGCCGTGAGGAGCGGTTCAAGGGCGGAAGAATCGTTTCATGCATCGGATTTCAGGCGGCCGTGCGAATTGCGGCGGCTATAATTGGCGGGTGCGAATTTCCATCGGCTTTTGATGGGGCGGGGGATTCCCGCTCCCTGATAGCCCAAGGCTGGGCTGCGCCAGTAGCGATGGCGCTACCAGTGAAAGCCCTCCCGTGAGTTGATGGTAGCCCACACCCCGGAGCCTTGGCTTTGATGATGGCCGAGGAGCAGGGACAGAGCCCTCGCCGCTGAACCATTAAGCGATGGGCATGATCCGCGATGTGCAATCAGTAAGTATGGGTGAAGTTTGTAAATCAGACACATCTTTTGCCACCACCTCCCTCCTAGGATCCTCCGCAGGAACCGTCCGAATGCCAAAGGGTCTGGTATCAAGCGCCTCTGCAGAGACGATTGTTACGGCAGGTAGCCTGAGATGGCCTTCCCAAATCTCCTCGTCCATATCAATGTCAGGGTCAGAAACCAATGAGCCACCTCCTCGGTGTTTCAGCGCATTCTCATGCTGCTCAACGATACTTTTTAAGCCTTCGTCAAGCTCCTTCAACTCCATCCCGTTCCCAGAATCTGAGCGTAGCAAAGTCTCTTCTACTGTGGATCTGCCCTCTACGTCGTTCGGATAGCATTTCGACAAAGCATTAGCATTATCACAACCAAGGAGTGTTTCGAGGGTCAGCTTGTAACCACTGGGCACTTCCTGGATTTCCTGTAGTTCTTCTGAGCTTGTTTCCTTGTAGGCGTTTGATTCGTAGAATGCCACCGAATGAATAGTCTGATTCTCTTCCACTTCGCGGCCGATGTCGCGGAAACCACCTGCACCGTCTGCTTGCGCTCGATCGCGTTTATGCCGGGGGCCGAGTTCCTTCCCTTCAGCAAGCTGGGCCATATTTTCGATAATACTTAACTCTTCGCTACCCAGTTTAGGCTTCCATTTGGCCCAACTTTCAACCCACAATTCTTCCTTTTCTTTCAAATCTAACGGGTTTCTCCAAGGTTTAAATAAAATAATCATATCTCGACACCATCCGTTGTCCTGGTCGTCCAACGCATTCGACCTGGCCAAGTTTGGTCCTAACAGAACCGGGACGACTGAATGCCTTCGTAGCACAAGAAGATGAGATCGAACTTGGGGGTGCGCGGCCGAAAAGAGGAACCTATTTTCCCGGTGCACAATGTCACCGTCATCGTTTCTCTTAATCCTCTCCTTCCTCGTCGACGCAAGGAAGGTATACAGACCCATACGACCAATCTTCGAAGACGAAGATCTATAAACGTAGTCCAAACGCCCACTACTGATACTAACGTCGTCCGATTGGGGAGTCACAGAAACAAATCCCCCCGATGCTTCGTTGATAGCCGAGTCCAACGTAGGATCGTGAGGGACGTCGATACCCTTTTCCCGGAACTCGTGCGTAATATTAACGAAACGAAGGCATTCTCCCCAGTTGAAAGTTTGGAAGACAGCGTTTGTGTATCTCTCCGGACCGCCTACAATGATATCTCGCATGACTTGTTGGTGCGACACCTCCTGGTGGCCGAGCATACTGTTTACTGCAGTGGTCATGGCGGAAACGACCTCGGGTTTGGTCAGGGTATTGGTTGAGGGTGTGAACCTTCTTTCCGTCTGACGGATGGCGTAAGACAAAGCAGCAAGGCCAGCGTGAACGGTTATGGGGGACTTCATAATGTATTCTGTCACATAATACATGAACGCTTTCGCGTCTTTTCCGGACCCGATGAACTTGACATCGTGATTGCATTTAGCAAGGAAGGTAACTAAAGGGGTATAGTGAGTCATTTGACCGTTGAGACGTTTTACGTTGATTCTGCCCGTGTCTTCCTCTATCTCTGTTCTCGCCGTAATTACACCATCCATACCAAACCGGCAGTTTGCATCAGAACGAGGTTCTTTGGGATTGAGGTACTTCCAACACGTTGCTCTATGCTTATGAAGGTTGTATCGCAGCAAAAGTCTATCAGTATGTCTCTTCATCTCCTCCTTGAAGTCCCGTAGACCATAGTCCTGCAAAAGAGGACCAAGCAGACTCCCAGGATGCGGTTCGCCAAGTGACTTTAACACGCTCTCAACATTATCGAACCCGTTCAACCAGCGACGAGTATTCTCGCACTGGAAGTCGGATTGCATTATGGATTCTAGCCACAGGAGAAACATCTTGCGATAGCTGGTATCGGAAATCAGTAATTCCTTCAGGATACGGGGGCTCGGATGACCTCGTAGCCAAACGAGCATATGGCAATGTAAAGTACCCCTTCCTTGAGCCTCGACCGTACCGTAGTACGCGTCACATATCCCATACACTCCCGGCTCGTCCCTCCCGCAACGCAGAACAATGTTTACAAATTGGCGTATCATCGCATCGAAAAATTGAACACATGCCACTGGATGAGCCACTGCAATCGCACCACGAGCTTTCGAATGGTCGTACAATAGCTCGTTAACCTGAGACGGAGTTTCACACCGCCCTGCAAGGATACGAACGATAGGGTTATCTACGTCCGATGGATTGATTGTAACAAATAAAGTAGGAGGGCCCCTGTTGTTGATGACACCTCTTATCTCGTTTCTCATCATGACCTTTTGAGCTACTGTCCCCGGAACGTGGCGGGCTACAGGGGAGATCGAGGCCATCACTCTGAGGACCTGTTTTTCAGCCAGTATTTCTGGTTTGTACCACGGCATGACTCTGAACTTTTCAATCAGTGAAGTGAGTACCTGGCGATCGATATCCAGGATATCCCGGACTATGCGTGAATATGTTGCCACAGGGGCTCGAAATCGGATGGATGTGTTCACCATCTTCTTACGCAACACGTTGTAGAAAACGAAAGCAAATTCGGGATCTTTTTCGAAAGTAGAATCTTCCCTTTGAAGCAGATGCGACAGTTGTTCTTCCATGCTCACGTAGCGTGTGCGAAGTGGGTGATAGAACCCTCCCAACCCCCAAGGATCCAAATGCGGGAACATCCAAGATAGCATATACGGGTTCCCGAAATCTGGGATAGGGCGAGCACCCGAACGCGAAGATAGGAAGGGCTTTCCTGAAAGACATCTATTTACAGCATCAGTTTGCATGTGCCGATAACTTTTGGCTGTATGGTCCCCTGTTGTGTAACCAGTATTCTCCATGAGAATTTCGCTACTATCCTCTTCAAAGGCCGTGTCCAACCCAGCTACATGGGACGAAATCGCCGTGTCAATTCCTTCATTGAACGGAAGGAACCCGAAGTGAACCGCTTTAGGAACGCCTTCATCATTATGTCCCTCGAACAAAGCGTTGAGCCGGTCTGCACTATAGCCCATAAATCCTGGAACTCGCCGATAATGGGGGTTATTGGCGAGCAGGAACTTCAAGAGAAGCTTGACTCTACTCTTCCGTACGAGAACGGGTTTAAAGCTTTCAATCGTAGCTCGAGTCGGCATTGTTTGAGAAATAAACACAATGCATAAAGTGTCAGCTATCTCTGTATGGGAAGGAGGGAGGCTGTCATGCATTTGGAGAACATCAAGAGGAGCCATCATGATGTTGCCTCGCACATGTCTTGATCGCTTCCGACGTCGATCCTTCGGCACACCTTCCTCTTCGTCTTCTTCATCACGTTCGATAAAGCGACAACAAATCCCATTCCCTCTGACCCTAGCTATCATCGCCCGCTCGAAAATCGTAGATTGCTCGAAAGCGCGACGAACATCCTCTGGTAATCGAGACCGACCGTAGTAGAGCCAATTGGCAAGAGCTAGCTTGGGCATCAGCCCCTTGGATAGGTCATTCGCGCAAGCTTTGCAAGCACGGAATTTCCCGAGCTCGCGAGGGTTCTCCAATCCTCTAGCACAAAGAATGGCACCTTTGTAGGCTACAAGATTATAATCAACGGGGTAAACATCATCGGGAAGGTAAGGATTGACGAGTATCTCGAGATCAATTTCAGTAGGATCAAGTATAACCAGCTCTGAATTGGGAATCAACTTAGAGCACACTGCACACGGGCTTCGCATAAAGCGATAAGGCGACGTGACATCCTGCCATTCCGAAACGATCTTCTCCATGTCGAGATCAGACATCACACGCAAGTGCTCGTCTGAAGCCACAGTATGTGGTTCAGTGACGGCTGGAGGAACTGTAGGTATGGTTGACGGAACCAGGGCTCTATCGATCCGAGGAATCTGTTCAATGAAGGAGCCGGCGTGAGAGACAACGAATCTTGATTCCACATTCCATCGAGGACGCGGAAGTTCTTTTAAATGGAACGTGGAGAGCTGGGAGCATTCGACTGAGCACGAATGGCTACAAAACTCTGCTCGAAGAGTCTCCATAGTGATATTACGGAAAGGTAATGAATGGGATGATGCAAGCTGCCTCAAATCCTTTAAGAGGAGATACCTGAAGCTATCAACGAAGTCGCGAACCGGGAGTGAGAAGATTAACTGAGTCGGGTCTTTGCATAACGCCTTCGCTTCTCTGTCATTGACCATCGCAACGAAACGATAATAAGTGTTCAGCCGCTGAATAGAGAATTCTTTGATTTGCATCCCATCCGTCGTATATTGATTATATCTGATACCTGTACCATGGGATAGTTCATGGAAAAGCATGCCATCGCACGATGTTACTCACTACACTGGAGTAGATCAGACTCGATACCAGGCTTGAAAACAATTCCGGTTTGCATCGTCCTTGGTTTAAAGGAGGTATTTTCAGCACCGCACAAAGCCTCCCTTCCTTTTATACCCTCGCAGACCTACAATGGCCGTCTAAGTTTCGGAACCATAGCATTACCGTAACCAATAACCATATAACCTTGGATTGCAGCCGAGTTCAAGTTTCGCGTGGCACCTGAAAGTAAAGTAACTTTTAAAAAACCGCTGTGTAGCATCTGCGAAGGTACGGTACTTCAACAAAGCCTAATAGTTGGCCTGAACAAGTACGGAAAAAGTTTCGGCAGTCTATTGGACGCTTGACCGATATAAAGCACCAACGATAATGCCGTTATCCAAATCCTTCAAGCCAAACATGAACGTCGACTCAGGCAAACACTCTCAACATCGAACGGGCTCGCCTCAAGTCACTTCAGAAACAATGGATACCACCAACAGCGACACAATCATGGTTGATGCCATGCTAGTCGACAGCCCAATAGATCGCATGGAATGCGACCCCGATGCCTCAGTGTACAAAGAGTCTGCCTCTGTAACCGACAGGTTCAAAGAGAGACTTTTCGAGACCAACAAAGCTTCGTGCATTGGGTGCAGGTTGACGGGGAAAAGGTGTATTGGAAGAAGGTGCAGGCGTGACGATGATCCATGCGAGTGTGTTGCTTTTCATCTCCTCCATTGACTTTGATTGACACTCAGGGAGGCAATGTTCCAGAGCCAATCGGCGTTGTGAATTCATGCGCCTCAAACCGGGGCCGAGATTTCCGGGGAAGTGGGGTGGAGCGGACAAGAAAGAGAGTAAAAGGAAACAGAGATGAAGCCATTCTGACAGCCAATTATAATCTCTACTGTCGAATTAACTCGAGTTTTGAATGAGCCAGAATCGATTTGTTAAAACCCTGCTGCAAGGCCGTTGTAATGACCTGTTTCCATCCTACCATGTCCGAATCGCTCTTTACTACCCCGGTGGACATCGCACTGCTGGCTGAAGCTGATACGCAGGGTATCTTTCGCTTTTGTCAAAACAGTCCCAATGTGAGTGCACGGTCTGGCCTTCACGAACTCGGAATTGACCGATTAAAGCCATGTGATAATCCGAAATGCGTCAACGATCCAGAGTCGTGTATAGCTGACCCTCAGTGCCGAGGTTGCACACAGTGTGCTACCGATAACAAGCGATGCTCGTTCATCGACTGTTTCGTGGTTCACTTGGTCGGGATGTCGATGGAATGGCCACCGACCACAGCTGCGCACTGGATGAGCGAAGTCTACAAGCCCTGTCTAGAAAACCTTCGGGGAGACGTAAATCCGGCCGACACGTTCCAGCGTAAGTGGTCCACTACAACGACTGACCACGGGACTGAATAAAGCCTCAGAAGAGACCAAATACCGGGAAATCGAACGGGACTTGGCTGGTAGCCTGAAGTTACAATCGAGGGCTCTGGATTATCTGCATCAAACGCGCCTCGACATCCCGACCACGAACGCAGAACAAAATCAAGGTAACCGTGCCATCAGTGGACAGCTAGCTAATGAAATAACCAATCAATGTCAGAGAAGCTCAGAGTTTTGGAGGAATGCTTACAAGACGTGGCTCAAAGCCAGGCTATAACCTTGCAACTAATGTCGGATACCCGCACGCAATTGGCAAAAACGACAGTTGAGATAGGCCAAAGCCAGTCGTGCCAGTCCATAAATTCAAGGTTCAACTAACGCTTCCTTGCAGAGGTCGTGCGTTCGATGGACAAACAAGCAAACACGTCATTTTTCCTGCAGAAGATCCAAGGGTTAATATGTCAGCTTGAAGGGCAATTCCAACAAACAGATATCGACCTCGTCATGTCGGTTAACAGCTTCCTCGCTTCTTATCGCAGTTTGGTTAGTTGCAGAGTCGAGGATGTATAGCGGAAGCGAAAAGGGAACAGAAACGGGACAGACGCTATTCTCGCGCAATGCACTAGAATACTTTTACTTTTAGTATTCGTGTCAGTCGGTATTTTGTGTTCCTGGAAAAGTGTGTACAGGGCTTCAAGTTGGAAACCGGAGCGTCGGGTCGTGCCACACCCTGAGCTGTCGCTGATCTCAAAAACGACAATGTCTCGAAAACTCGGAGTACAATGTCCCGCCACAATGAGCATATTGAAGATGAAGAGAAGCCAGGCAATGGCAACCACGTCGATAATGTGAGCGCACCAAATATGAATCTCAGCGTCAATCGCTCGGCTTTTGCCATAGTGCCTCCCTCAGGTTGCTCACCGTCACGTCCACGCGTTACCTCTCTTTGCCCGTGTGCTTCCATCGCTCGCACGATCTTAGACAACGACCACCGCGACTCCAGTAAGCAGCCATACAATCTGCGTCTTACCTCTCTTGTCATTTTCTCTCGAACACACAGTTTAACCAGAGGTTTTTCGTAACATGTGAGTAGTCTTCAATCCATCTCTAACCCTACAAAAAGGACAAGCGTGGACTGACTAGGAGGTTCTGTCAGATGCTCATTCGGATTCACACCAACAAAGATACCGGCCACTACCCATCCGGCCACGATTGTGGAAGCAAGCCACGTACACGTATAGAGGAGGCCAGGAACCCATTCCACTTCAGCGCCACGGGCGCTTCTAAGGCCGTCTACGAAGACCTCCTTCATCCTCGCCACTGGACAACGGCATTCGTCTGGAGAGCATGTATACCAACCCAGCGACTTTTCCATGTGTATCCTTTTGACCGCTTACGACGCATTCCACCACCCCAAGAGTTTAACTGGAAACCAGTTAGAGCACCAGCTCTACTCCACCGTCACCCTTCTCAAATCAACCCTCGGAGTACCCATGCCGTGGGTCATAGCTACCTATCAGGGTTCCGGTCCATCTCACGGTATCTGAGGGCCACCCGAGCGTCTCGAGACTGGTTCTGGGTTTGGGTGGGGCCTTACTTTGCCTTATAAAGTATAGTTCGCGCGTCGAGGATTCAAGCTCACCCAACCGACAATTCCGACCTCCAGAGCGACTCTTTAGCCCCGTTCGAACGCTGCGCGAGACTACAATACCTGAGAAAGGTAGCGTACCAGTCGGCTCATCGCTTTAAGACGCTGTTCATTTTCGACTGGTCCAATTCTGGTGTCGATTGGAAACTCGCCGTTTTATCACCTCTAGACGCGCTTTTCGTTTGCAGGCTTCCGGACACAATGGAGGAAGCAGATATTGCCTATCTTTTGTTGCAGCGAGGGATAACATTTCGGACCCTCTGGCCCGCTCCAAGTCCCTTCATCCAAACGTCCTCAAGGCACATCCAATCCCTCGTCGACCACTGAATCACACGTTTACAAAGGCTGATTACGACCTCAACCTCAGGACCACACTCCTTTCGGAGCCCCGTATGCAGGCAGCATTGCGACGAGGGGGGATATTGGCGATCGGGTCCTTAGGCATCTCGTGTACATTGACTGGATGCGTCAGATCAGGGCCGTCAGTTCACGTGGAAGTCGAAGCCAAGGTCTACTACGAAACCAAATTGACCACGGATGAACTTGATTTAATTTGCGGACCTTACCAGTGTGTCAATGGTACGTGCTGAAAGCGACTCTTAGTTAGTATCTTCTGATGAATTTATTGTCTTCTTAGAACAAGGACAGACATCCTCGAAGTCGTGGTGGCCATTGGCCCGGTTCTAGGAAAAGGACGAATGTGGCGAGAATTATGGGTACTGGTGTCAATGGAGGGAAGCATGGTATCAGCAAAGACTTGTCGCCATCGAAACAGGAAGGTTTGGTGAATGCCAACCATTGTCGTACACAGACTGGAAGTCCAAACAACGTGGTTTGAAGTCTATCCGATGTTTTCGCCGATCTGTTTCAGCCGAGGCCATGGCATTTATTGAAGCTAATTGTCTAGTATGAGCGTTACTGTACCCTATTCGTTCTGCAATGAGAATTACCCAATTCATCTCCTCGAATCCAGAGGTCCAATGGCAGTGCACTGAGCTCCTTAAATAACCGAAGTACTCTAAGTATTCAAAACGGATACATGCCTTTGCCATGGTACCTATCCCACTAGAAGTCCTTTCCTGCATTCACGGCTTTCTGGGGAAACAAGACGTGACCACATGTCTCCGAGTCAACAAAACCTTCTTCAGCCTGTCGCTCTCAACGCTTTATCGGGGAGACTCGCCACTGGCCTCCTCCGGCCCAAAGAATAACTGGAAACGGATTGAAATGATGGCATCTAGAGCGACAAATGCCGAAACGTACGCCAGCCAAGTTCGAACTTTGGTATTAGAAATTCCATGCCCAGCCTTGTCTCCGTTGTGGGTACTGGGGCCAGATGTTCAATCAAAGGAACATACCGTCGCCGTTATCACCTCGCTACTACCCCGCCTCACCCGCCTCACCCATCTGATCATTAATTCATGGTCTCACAACACCGATTGGATGATAATCGACGGATTGATCGCGCAGAGAGGACCATTCTGCAACCACAATGATAACAAGGTCCCAGACTCCATTCAAACCCTCTCAAAACTAACAATCTACGGTGCATGGGACTGGAGTAGACTTTGTTGCTGCAGAAATGTCAGAAACCTATCCATCATGACCCGCCTGGACAGCGAGTCCCTTTCTCTCACTACTCTCTTCCTCTCAGAATTCAGTGGCGGCTGTAACCTAGAAGCGCTCTCCTTGATCACAGACTTACACGTCGGACCCATAGAAGACTTCAAACTAACTTCTATCGCTTCCTCTCTGGTTAACCTTTGTCGACTAGTCTTGATCAATGAAGGCTTTATGATCTCTGTAAGTGACGGACGACCTCCGACAGACCTTTTCTCACTGATCGATTTACGTAAATCACAGACGATGCTTGACCTCCTTGCAAGAGAGAAGAACCCCGCATTTCCCTGCCTTGAAATATTGAAAATCAACCCCGGGAGCGGTTTCAGTTTCAACAATTCGCCTCGGTGCCGAAATGTGGAACGGCTGAACGGGATATTGTTGCCATACTTGAGGGTGTTCAAAGAGTCTCGGAGTTCGTTAAAGCTAATCAGGATTGGAGTAATAGTCTGCCAGTTGGAAGAAGGTATTAATAGCTCCTTCGAATGGAAAATGAGCGAAGATAGGAGACCTAGTCTAATCGAATTGATGATGTAGTTAAGTAAAGGAAGCCCATTCGTCGTGAGATTGTTCATTGACCACCGGACGACTTTGAATGATGCACGAAAAGTGCTGCAGTAATACTTCCAGCCTATAAAAGGTCCAGGGTAAAATCGTATTCACTCTCAGAGAACCCGGTGGTATGCCTCGCATAGGACCAACGCTTCCATTAGAACTACTACAACGAATACAAGGCATGCTAGACCGAACTAACACGGTCACATGCCTCCGAGTCTGCAAGGCAATGTTCCATCATTCGGTCGACATCCTGTATGAAAGTGATTCCCCGTACTTTCTCGATCCTCTTCAGGCATGGGGCCGGATCATTACCCTAACATCAGATTCATCCACAGCCCCCATCTACGCTAATCGTATCAGAGAACTCAACCTCGATTTGGTATTCTCCCCTCGCCCCCGTGTCAAGAAGCTGGTTCACTTACTCATGAAGTTATTTCCCCGCCTTACGCGTATCAAGAAGCTTATAATATATAGCAGCAAAGGGAGAGATGATAACATGGTTATAGAAACCATAGCCAAGAAACTTGAAGGCAGCAAGTCTGGCCACGGTATACTCTGCCAACACAACGACCATCAGAACACGCCGAACTGCCTATCCACCTTGAAATCCTTGACAATCCATGGCCCATGGGAATGGTCGTTTTTAATGTGCTGCAGGCACGTGGAATGCCTTGCGATCCATGGGCCCCTAGAAGAAGAAGATATCAAAGAATTATCGACATTCTTCGGAAATGTCAAGGGTCTTCAACGCGTCAAGACGCTTATCTTGGATGTACACATCCGTCCGCGCCGCACTTGGGAGTGTGAATTGACAACGTTTAGCAACTTCCTGCCGAGTTTGCAACGTTTGTCTATCTTCCAGAGTAGAAAGGGAGTTTCAGTGCGTCTGCAAAGCATTGGATCTCAAAGGTCACGAAGAACTAACCGCTTTTTAGAAGATAATCGACGAACTTTCCACCGACCCTTCGCGTTTAAAGTTATTGGAAGAAGTGTACATTAATAAAGGCGACTCACTCCTAACACACAACCCTGTTGATTACCCACTCGAATGGGATAGTCTGGTCCAGGAAATGAATCCAATTCTCACAAGAATAACAAAGTCAGGGAGACGCTCCTTAAGGTTTATCCAAATTGGCAAGCTTCAGTACAGCTTATCACCTACAAGTCACAACAATCCTAGCTGGAGACAAGAGTTCGTTCGTGATCTGGACTCCAGTTTACCTGAAGTATAATGATTCATTTACATACGCCAACTTGTCCTAGTATACTATAATGACACTTGAATTTATTGGTCTGAAGGCAAATACAGTCGGTTCTGAAAGTATGTACAAAGAAACCAAACACGTCCAACGAAGTCATATGATTTCGGGTACTTAAGGACGCGTCTTCAACGAGAGCATCGTTCCTCTACACCAATAATGGTTTCTAGGACAGAACGCGTACTCCCCATAGAGGTTTTAGCCATCGTTCATGGCTACCTCTCAAAGGAATCTATAGTGGAATGCCTTCGTGTCTGTACCGCTTTTTTCTACATGTCTTCGAGGGCCCTCTATCGCAATCATACCCTACTGCGTGGGATGGGCGTTAACAGGCTGTGGTCTCGGCTCCACGCGATGACAGCAAAAACAAAGTCAGCTGAGACATGCGCGAGACAGGTCCAGAAGCTCATTCTCGCATTGCCCCCGACCGCGAAGTTCAATGAGATTATAAACCTAATGAACGATCTATTTCCCCGCATGACGCAAATCACAGACCTCCTCGTAGTTGATTATCATAGTATTCAAGGAATTTACCCAAAAAGTCTCATCAACGCCCTGAGAAAAGCGGGAGTCCTTTATGATCCTGAAGGCTTAAACGACCCCCCAAAGACTATGTTAACTCTCAAGCTACTCACAGTGATCGGGGATTGGAATTGGTGTCGTCTGGCAAGTGGAAGGCAGCTTAGTGGTATCAATCTACGCTTCCCGATTAAACGATACTCTCTACTGCGGCTGTCAGAATACCTGCAAAATTGGGAATGCGCGCCAAAGCTTCAGTCCTTTACGTTAGCGGTCACTCCTCGTGTTACTGAACTACTTCTGAGACTCTCTGTCATCGGAAGTGCATTATCCGGAGTACGTTACTTGACCATCATACAATTGACAGATCGAGCTGTAGTGAGTGGACTATAAATGTAAAGGAACTTTAAATGACGAGATCAAGTCCCTACTATCTTTCTTGATCAAAAACACGCGCGCCTTCCCTGTTCTTGAAGACCTCCGCATCAACCCCGGAAGCAAATGGACACCGGACCCAATTCACCTCCCTGATTCCATCGTTTACAGTCTTCTAAACAGGATCCTTGTCCGAAGGCCTATGCTTCGGTCAATAACCATTGGTACTCATTCATATACGGCAGACCTTGGAGCGCGTGAAGAAGTCAATTGGAATCATCGGGAACTTTCATTCACACCTCGATAAAGTATGCGCAATAGGGTACTCCAACTGGCGTTTATTATTAATAAGCATTTAGGCCATATAAGCGACACTGTCCCAAAGAAAACTGCAGCTCACTCAGGTGTAATGCCGACCATCTACGCACTTCCAACTGAGATTTTAGAGCAAATTCTTGTCCTATTGAACCCTTCTGAGACTGTGGCATGTCTCCGGGTTTGTACCACATTCTTCTACCTTGCTGTAGACAGGATATACAGGTCAGAAGACGCGTTGACCTACCTCAGTCATCGACGGGCTTGGAGTCGCCTGAATACCCTTGCATCCGACTCACATACCGCCAGCTTCTACACAGCAAGAGTACGAGAACTAACTATGGTTTTTCCTGATGGAGTGAAGAAACCAGAAGCGGTGGATTTAACCCTCAGACTGTTCCCGAGGCTCACAGGAATTACGAAGCTTGGGGTGTGGTGCCAAAGCATCGATTCAATCCACGTCAGCGACGTTCTAGAAGAAGTCATTCGCCGAGACAGATCCGGAATATTTTGCAACCATCACAGAGGATCGGCGTCCATTTGTATGCCAGCGCTTACCTCCTTGCATGTATTTGGAGAATGGAGTTGGTGTAAATTGAGCTGCTGTCGCCCCGTATGTCACATCAGCATAGATTTTCCGCTCACACACAGCCCGCTATCAAGGTTCACTCAGTACCTCAAGTCCTCGGGCGGAGCGAGAACATTGAAAAGTGTCACGCTTACCGTAGATTTTGCCGTTCGGAGCCTACCGTTTCGACTATGGAGACTAGCAGCAGGTTTGACGTGTATAGAGAACCTGACCCTGGTGCAGCCCGGATTAATCTTCCAAGTAAGCTCCAGTAACTGATCCTTACTCGAACGAATCCTTACACCATCGGTCAGCCCATAATCGAACAACTTGTTGAAGACAATTCGTTATGTCCGAGTCTGGTTTCATTGACATTCAATCCAACGCTCCACTGGAACGAGTCTATGTCGATCGAAGAGGGTGAAGGGACAGAGGAACAGGAAAAAGAGAGGCGAGAAGTACGATCCTTGCTAGAGAAAGTCGGAGACCGTCGACCCAGACTGCGTCAGGTTACTTTTGGATTCCAGCGCTTTACTCGACAGGCAGAGGACAATCCTCCTTGTAAAGTACAATGGACATGTACCTTTAACACTTACGATGCCGCGTCAAGTTACCTATAAATCTACTTGATCCAGTCGTACTTAGCACCACCATTCCCGAGTTAAAGAACCTAGAGAGCAAAACCCATAAGTCAGATAATCTCATTCGTGGACTAAGATTAAAGACTGAATTATAAAAAAAAAGTTAAAACGAAATTCAGAGACGTTCCTGACAATCAAGCGAGTGGCCTTTATAGCTAGAGCCCCAGTGCCACCTTCATTCGGATGTTCCCCATGACCATCCTTTCCCTGCCACCGGAGCTGCTACATGCCATTTTTCGCTGGCTATGGAACCCTGAGGATCCCCGTGATGTCTCTTCCCTGGGAAGAGTATGTACAAACTTTGCACCCTTTGGACGCGAGTATCTGTTCCGAACCGTCGTATTTGAACATCCATTCGCACCTTCCAATACCACACTCGACAATCGAAAACGCGAATTCAGCACTCTACTTACACGTCGACCCAACTTAGCGACCCTCACACGGAAAATTAAGCTTGTATCGGATACCGGCGAATGGACGTGGATGTGTAACTCTTCGATGTTACAGATCCTACGCACCATTGCCGAGACTGGCCAATTGACTACCTTGCACGTCGGTTGCTCGTCTTGGAGCCCTTTAAATGGGTGCAAAACATGGGATGTCTTGTTTCCCATCATAGGTCGGACCCTCACCCACCTAACCCTCGACAATATCGCACACTTGTCTCCTTACCTTTTTGAGTCATTGCCCAATCTCACTCGTCTTCGCCTGTTTGGCGTGTTCTTTGATCCCCCTTCCGACTCTTTACCCACACCGCATACAAGCTTCCCCATTCTAAGCTCGCTCTCCTATTCCAGGAGGTCTCGCACTGTACCGGGCTACATAGGCGGACAATGTGAAATAATCACTCGATTTCTATCACTGAAAAACATCTATGCGGCATTCTTCCGGACAGAAACGGAAGATGACCTGGCCACCATGTTCGAAACCTTTCACAACTCACTTTCTCTGCAAAAGCTAACAGTCAACGTCTCTGGTCTCGGTGCCAGTTGTAAGACCTTCCAATACCGTTCGAATTAATAGCTAATTTGCACGTATACAGTACACTGGAGCGACGTTCTATCGATCCAGAAGTTCTCAATTCTCCGTCTCCGTCGCCTTACCCTGCTTGTCAATTATAAGCATTCGTATATGGTGGACCGAAAGCCAGTATTAGGCCTAACAACCTTTATTAGCGCCATGACAGCCACCCAGATCCAATACTTCGATATCAAGTTTGTGTACCTATCACACTATCGCTTCGATGTCGTCCATTTCTTAACACGCCCTGGGTGGCCCGATCTAGATTCCGCTTTGGAACTTCTCGTCTCTAGCAGCAATTCCTCGCTGGTACTGCGCTTCCATTTTATCAATTGGAGTTCAGCCTATGACATGAGCGCCCTCCGTGGAAACGAGCATCAAATTCTTTCCAATTTACAAAAGGATACGCGCCTAAACGGTATCCTTCAAGGCTCTCGAGCGCCAATCACACTAAGCCACTTAAAAACCCTCCTTCCACTGACTACTCAACGAATACGCATCGATATAATTTGGAGCTAAAGGGAGTTTCGAAGTCTGTTGGCGACTACCAGCTCCGCAAAGACAAAATCCAGTATACTGCCTAACAAACCAAAAGGATAACTCAAGGCTCGAGCTTCATCTAAGCTTGTTAGTAGTCACACCAGATTCCGGCTTTGATGACAAGGAGAACCTTGCAGTATGGAGGCCATAGCCTCCGAATTATTGACAGTTCAACAAAGTAGGCTGTACAAGCAACCCTTATTTAGACACATGTGAGACAGCAAAAGACGTATATACCTTTCGTTAAGAGAGTTGGACAGTTTCTCTTGTAGCTATTAGTATGAACACATAATCCGACGAATGCAAGTCAAACTGGAATGAATTCCTGTATAATCCACGATGCCCGCGGAAGGCATGCGATTAACCGCAGGGCTCAGCTCAGACTGTAATTACGACGTCAAACGCATAAGCCGTTGAATTAATTCTTATCCACACATTGGACCTCCAAATTCAATAAGGATATATTACACGTCGTCACTACAAATCTATCGGGCACTCGAGACATTGTCTTATTCGTCTTCTCCCTAAAGTCCACCTATCGCCTACAATGTCGCTTACTTCTATCGCCCCTGAGCTGATATGCTCTGTATACACTCACTTGATGAACACCGGGTCACTTCGAGACATCTCTTCACTTCAGTCACCTATGGAAGCCTATCACGAAGATCATATTAATTTCTTCGCTTCCAAGGGTCATGTGACCCCCCTTCCCAGGAAGCTTCCAGCCTCTCCCCATCCCAAAAAAAATCCAGGAAATTCCACCACCAGTCCACTTCCAGCTTCCACTTCCACCTTGGAACTTCCAGTGAACCAAACAAAGGGTATCCACTTCCAGTTCCATTCCAGCCATCAAATGTGATGCACTCCAAATGATTGATGGGAAGCCAACCTGGAAGCTCCAAAATAGTACCATTTTCGGGAAACAATAAACATAGATGATCAAATCAAATTCTGATTGACAATGAGTATGACATCATTTGTTCCTGTTCCTGATTATCATGACATCATGGTGCCTGATGATGTCAATCATTGATATCATTGATTAACTTCCATCATCAAAAGCCAATCTTATCTTAATTAGTGTGATGTCATCCTTCTCCTCCACCAGTATTTCATCCATATCTCACTCATTTCTTCGCTTTTTTGAGTAATTCTTTTTGATTCAAGTGTGAACCATCATTGGCTACAGGTATATATTATATTTGTATATACTCAATGATGAATAGATATTCAAAATTCGACCTTTTCAAGCATTGACACTATTATGACACATTTTTGGTGGAGAATATGGATATATCTTCCTCATTTTCTTCACCTTTCTTCTTGGAATCTTCATTGAAATAATCTAGAAATATGTCCACACATATACTAATGCACTTTTTCCTTGATAAATAGACTTTACCCCACCAAGAATGACAAAAACATGCAAAAATGCGCACCAATAGGATGAAGCTGGGCCGATTTCTGAGATTAAAACTGTTTCAAAGAGCGTTGAATGCCTTCTCTTTGATGGTACCGCTCAGTAAAACTTATGAGAAGTGGAACATACTGGAAAATGCGAAATACATGGATAAAATCACATTTTTAGTGATTTCACTATTCCTTTACTTTATACCTTTCCAAAGTCAATAAGATGTATTGGATATATCTCTCAGTCTTATTAAAATGCTTTTGTAAAAGTAATGAACTGTAGGTATCACATTAAAACAGTGAAAATAAAAAGTTCTATTTTTATAGGAAAACCGAATGTTTTAGATATTTTTAGGTGTATTGTGGTGTTTTTGGAAGAGGCAGATTATTATAACAAGTCTGTAAACCTTCTTTAAGGCTCTACAGCAGAGTTGGTGCAATTACATCAAAAATTGGGAGAGGTACTATTGAAATACTACACAAAAGAGGGACAAAATCAGGAATAAGACTATTATTTTCGCTTTTTCAGTATTAAGACTGGTTTCTATTGGTTTTTAAATGTAATAGAGAGTTCCCAATGTAGTAATAGTAAATGAATCAAAAAGAATTCCTGAAAAAAGCAAAGAAATGAGTGAGGTATGAATGAAATACTGGGGGAGGGAAAGGATGACATCATACTAATTAAGATAAGATTGGCTTTCTGATGATGGAAGTCAATCAATGATATCAATGATTGACATCATCAGGCACCATGATGTCACAATAATCAGGAACAGGAACAAATGATATCATACTCATTGTCAATCAGAATTTGATTTGATCATGTATGTTTATTGTTTCCGGAAAATGGTAATATTTTGGAGCTTCCAGGTTGGCTTCCCATCAATTTTGGAGTGCATCACATTTGATGGCTGGAATGGAACTGGAAGTGGATACCCTTTGTTTGGTTCACTGGAAGTTCCAAGGTGGAAGTGGAAGCTGGAAGTTGGATTGGTGGTGGAATTTCCTGGATTTTTTTTGGGATGAGGGAGAGGCTGGAAGCTTCCTGGGAAGGGGGGTCACATGATCCCTTGGAAAGCGAAGAAATTAATATGATCTTCGTGATAGGCTTCCATAGGTGACTGAAGTGTCTCTTCCCTTTCCACTTCTTGCGCAACTTTGGTCTCATTTGGTCAGGAAATCCTTTTTCGTACCATATCATTCAAGCATCCCACTTGTTCCTCGAAGACCGTTAATGAACGAAAGCAAGACTTCATATCTTTCTTGCATCACAATCCCCGAATCGCCGCCTTTGTTCGACACATTCGACTCTCATCCGCGCACTCCGACGCCCCGTGGATGAGCGACGCTGCAATGGAGCGCATTTTACTCGCTATCAATGCCGAAGGTTCATTGTCATCCCTCCGAATTGATGGCTCCGATTGGGACGCCTTGAACGGGGACGCTTTTTCACGTACCATCCTCCCAATAGTCGGACCTAGTATCACCCACCTCACCCTCGACAACATCGAAAAGATCTCGACCAACATATTTCTTTCTTTGCCGAAGCTCGCCTCGTTGAGCCTTTTCGGCGCCTTCTTCGACCTTACCCCCAACTCAGATCACCCAACCGCCATTTCACCTCATTCACTTCCTACTATCCGGTCCTTCTCCTACGAAAGGATATCACGGACTGTTCCGGATTATTTTGGAGACCTATGCGAGTGTATTACACACATTCTACCTCTCCACGATGTAGCAAGTGCATTCTTGCGTGCCGAGACAGAAGATGACCTCAATACCATGACCGACCTTTTCCGAAAGGCACACAACGCGCTTAAGGCCGTCACCATCGACTTGAGCGGGTTAAGCAACAAAGGCAAGCTACCCGAGTAAATTCTGGTCGCTTACTTCAAAGCTAATGTCCGCTTCCCCTAGTTCACGGCGCCGACTACCTTCGAACGACCGGATTCACTCCACTTCCTCGGCTGGAAAGCCTCACTTTAGAGATAACCTACACCTCGGCATATAGCGTTACAGACCGCCCTCTTATCGGAGTCATATTCTTTCTCAAAGCGGTCATAGCCAAAGGCATTCGACTATTGGACATTCGTGTCAAATACGGAGGCTTCCATCGCTTCGACTTAGCCAAGCTTGTCACTGATCCAAAATGGCCTGCTTTAGACGAAACTCTTGAAGACCTCCTTTCCCGACGCCCTGGCCTTCAAGTACGCTTCCAATTTATCTATTGGAGCGAGACCCTAGACAATACCGTCGTTCGACCCGAAGATCACGACATCATCGCAACCTTACTTGACAATCCCCGCCTCTCCCGGCTTCCTCGCTCCTGTCGAGATCCTCTCACTGTTTCTCATTTAAACGCTCTGCTACCCAAATCCAGCGAAAAGACACAGTTAGAGATAACATGGTCTTGATTAGCTTCCAATCTTGGTCTTCTTATATGTTGCTTATGCCAGTACCCTTCCACTTCCATGGCATGTGGATTAAAGTCTTCTAGGCCTCTTGAACTTTACAATGATGTTAAATTGACATGACATGTGTAGATCTGGTCATGGCATTACAGACTTGTATGCTACTAATAAAGCCGGTCATATAAAGACTGAAGGCCGCCGCGAATTTCCCTCAGCCTTGACCCTATGGCGTCAATCACTGGGTTTAATATCCCGACGGAGGTCATCGCAGAAATCCTTTCAGTAGCAGGGCCAAGGGAAGCGTCCACGTTAATGAGGACGTGTAGCACAATTTTCCGTCTCGGGATTGATGTACTCTATCAATCAAACAACGCATTCGACTTAACGCCGGAGCAAACATGGAGGCGTATAGAGACGCTGAGCTCGACATCGCTGAACTCGAGCCTTTACGCGCGTCGCGTGCAGCAGCTCTCGATCTACCTCCCTATTCATCTCCCGGTCGATCTGATCGTCTCAGTGTTGCTCAAACTTTTAAAGCGGTTAACGAATATGACAGACCTCACGATCCACAGCAACCCCTTCGCCCCCGACGTGTTTATAGTAGCCGAATTGTTCCAGAAGGATAAAGGAAAAATATTCTGTAGGCACCATCCAAGGAANGCACCTATAATTATGCCAAATCTCAAGACGATCACTTTGGACTGCAGCCCGCATNGGTTACGAATAGCATGTTGCCGACTCATCGAACATATAACCGTGAAACGACCTCTCACTAAGTACCGGATGGACGAGGTGGTTGAATATTTCACCGAGGCTTATATTCCCCCACGTCAACGAGCCCCGAACAATTGGGCTGCCCTCAAGACGCTTACACTCTGCTTGAAGTCGACGGTCAGGGATTACAAATTTTTCCCCAGGGTGTTCTCTCGTCTATCCAAAACAGCTATGAATATCGTTCATCTAACAATATTTCAGACGATACCACTTGTAGTCGTGAGTCCGATACATGCAGAGGCGTACAGTGAAATGACACTGCGCACCTAACAGCCGATTATCAAAGGGATAGCAAAGAGCCCTTCGACATTCCCCAAGCTCGAGAAGCTTTCTATCTGCCCAGGGGAACATATACCATGGCTTCACAGAGTTGAGGAGACTATGTTGATCCTCGAGTTGATTGATTGCGTGAAAGATATCGGAAAGGTACGACCAGCTTTCGAGACGGTTGTACTAGGTACAGAACTATGGTTTGTGGAAAGGCAACAGGAAGGCGCTATGTGCCTCTCCGTATGCACTAAAGGGACTTAAAGCTACAAGGTCTCCTTATCTCATGTATTCACCCAAAACGTCTACCAATACCATTCCCATTACTCGTTTATCGAACCTATACCACTACAACTTAATCGCGTCATAGCTGTTTAAATTCGTAGAATCACTGTTACTCTATCATCTTAAGCGGTACTCCATGTTGAAGGGATGTTAGAGATCGCGACGTCGAGGTCCACAGGGCGTCGGAGTGCGCGGATGAGAGTCGAATGTGTCGAACAAAGGCGGCGATTCGGGAATTGTGATGTAAGAAAGATATGAAGTCCTGCTCTCGTTCATTAACGGTCTCCGAGGAACAAGCGGGATGCTTGAATGATATGGTACGAAAAAGGATCTCGGGGGCGGCCATCACTGTTCGTTCTATATGGGGCATGATGCGCATTACCAAAGGGAGCAACCCAGCGGTCAACACGGACGCGGCGTTATCCATCGTGTTGTAATCCATAGGCAGATCCATGGATTTTTAGCCACCGTGCAGTCACGTCTGCTTTGATTACCCGTTATCCTGGTGATGGTACGACAACAAACACTTTCAGTAAGACGGTCTTTCGTGGAATGAACAAGGATGGACATCAAATGGTATTACAAGTTTTACAAAGTGACGAGCTGATACATCGATTCGTTTATTTTACTGGAAGGCTCCTAGTCGCTGTCGGAAGGGATTCCACCTAGGGAGGCACAGTCAGAATCCCCGGAGTCCCAGACGCAGTCACCCTCAAGCTCGTTCTGGATGCTGCACAGGCTCTGATCATTTCACAGCTGGACCCTGCACCAGGTATTCTGCACACGGGCTGTAGCCGGTCATCTATACGACCGTCACATCGAGTGACAAGTGATACTGAAGGCAATTTCCCAACTATGGACACGTTTCTTTCTCGCTCAACCTTTCCCTGCGGCTCGACCTCGACGTGAAGGTGGCCAGGCGATCGGATCTCTTTCATACCATAGACAAGAACGGACGATGAAACGCACACGCGCCTCGTTAGACCTGTTATAAAGGACAATAATCCAAACCACTTGAACATCCTGCTCATTTGCACTATGCCTCTCCCTGCAGCGTGCACTCCGAAAGTCTGCGATTCCATTCTCTATTGTACGCATCTCTCCCCTCTATCATCTCATAATCCATGTACTGATTCGTACTTGTATCAGGCTGCAATGAATATCACAAACAGTTTGGACCATTCGCCGAACGCACGTACAAGGGTTGGAAAGCTCGCTCTCTCTGGATCACGTCATCGATGAATACACCATCCGGAGGATTTACGAACAACCTCAATGTCAGCCATGTCTCCGATGCCCTCCAATGGATTTTCATCAGCACTTCAGACGAACGAGGTTAGCATTCCAATTTTGCTTCGTTTCCGCAACAGACGTTTGACACGATTTGTTTCCATAGTGCAGCGAATGATCATGGGCGGCAGGGCAATGACTCGGGCCGCTTGCACGCTATTTCAATTTCAATCCTTGCTCCGCGAGCCTCTGAAGCTAGAAATCATACTACCCCATCCAGGTGTCAACAAAGGTGTTCAAAGAGAAGTGATTTTGAACCTTGTGGACTGGCCCCTCAGACAAACGGTGAGCCGTATTCCATCGCCGCCTCAATTCCGAAACTGAAGGTACGACAAACTGTAACCAGAACGAGATCTGGGTTTTTTCGTCTATCCCTCTGAAGCCCCAGTGTTGCGTCTCCCTATTCGAGAACGACAGGCCGATTTCTTGGGCGTACTTTGACGTGAATTCCCACAGCGCGTCTAAAGCAAATCACCCGAATCCAGCACTCGCATCAACCTATCCTTTCCACTACACGACTTCTGTCGCTCCGCTGATTCAGGGTTCGTGGATAATGGCTTACTGTAAGTAAGGATCGACTGTACTGTAAATCGTTACTGACTCTAGCTCAGCCAACACGAACTTCAGTGTACGACAAGAATTCACAGGCGCTAATTTTGACCAATCGATCGTTCTACGTTACATCCTCGCCAATGATTGATGCTCTTTCTCTATTTCACACCGAACTACCATGTAACCTTCTTCTATGCTACAGCCCTTCAGCGATTGATAGTATAACACTCCTTCTCTTTCCATTCCGACTTTACTACCATGTAACCTCAGTCTATGCTACATCCTCGCCAACGATTAATACTCATTCTCTAATGTGTTCCAATTATCGTTCGTAAAGTTCTTATGCATTCACTAGGATGTTGATGCTACGAAGATACAGATGAAAAACCTCTATTTGCCCCGTGGATTGAACCACATGTGAAGAGTACCCTTGTCGCCGTCGAACCTCACTCGCAAAGTAGAGAAAAGTGCATTAACTGGGACACCGTCACATCGAGGTCGGAGTATAGCACAATCCAGCCTAAGACGGTAATCAGCAATACGATCGTGGAGATGAAAGCTGCAAGCATGACTTACGGCAGTTCTATCATAGCTCCCGATTGAATCCTGAAGTGAATGTACCGATTTCCCTACAGGGAACGTGATTGATTGAACGCCAAATGAGCGACGAAACCAAAGAGTCTTACAGTACCCGCCTCTTCTACAACCTCTTCCACCACACATAACTCGGGGTTATGCACGCCGCATGCATCGAATTCAACAAGGCGACCGAGCTGAGAGGGTAACAAGTTGGATCAACTACAGTTACTAAAAGGGTGGGACAAAGCAAACCTACAGGAGTATCCCATTCTTGATCCCCTTGAAGAGACCACGGTCGGTTCAAGATCGTGAAAGGCATACTGCTGACAAGTGGGCACTGTGTGTAATCTGTGTTGAGGTGAGTGGAGGTGAGTAATGAAGTTTGAACGGGAAGCCAAAAAAATAAATAAAAATAAACCTTGGTTGGGTATTTGCTTACAGTGGATATGGAAAGTAATAGTTGAGAGAAACACAGCATTAAAGATATGGTCAGGTATTGGTCCACTTTTGTACTACAGCGATTAAGATTACAGGACCGTCGATCTGGCCCATCGACGTAATTACAACAGGACATGGGATTTGAAAGGGTGTTTGATAAAATGGAAGTTGAACGATAACAGTACACGTGGGCTTGTCAGCGCAAACCCTGAAGCAAGAGGCATGTCATGGGATGTGGCGTAGAAGGGAGACACCTAGGAAAGTAGAGACTGAAACCCGTTGGAACCGCAAGGAAGACTCATTCAAGTACACGTGTTATACCTTCATATCGGCACAGTTTCAACTCCAGTACAGTGTGGTGTGTCAGGGGTAGAGGTGGTGGTGGTGGTGGTGGTGTCAAGTACAGTTAGTATCCATTCCAAGTGGTGTCAAGTACCCCAATTTACACGCCCCTGGATCGCGAAAACCTCGCTGGTGCAGAGGGGTGACACTACAGAAAGATCCGGATGTGATATTGCAAGTCACGATAACCTCCAGATTCGTGTCCTATTTGGAGGTCATCAAGACTTGCAATATGCAACCAGGATTCTCCGATGAGGAACTCGCTAGGAAGACCGCTCAGGTTTGGAAGGTATGAGAGCAGTTGTCGAACGTTGGAAGCACTTAGAAAGCGCCGTGCTACGATGCCATTTATACCCACGGCAATCCCACCGATGATCGTTCATCAAGGTGTCACACTGCCCTAGCTCGTGGTACCAGCACTTAGACCGCCACATGTAAACAGTTCGGAGAACCAAATGTGGAAAGACACCGGCCGCACGGCATGAAATCCTCGCATCAGATAGCTTCTTGCCACGATTCCCACGAAGAAGAGAATATGCCCTGCACTCCGAACCATTGAATCGAATGACTAGGACTCGATCTACCTAAGAACGACTGTGAAAGGGCAAAAGTAAGCAGTGGAGATTCAGATCCCCTCGCCGTCAGTTCACATGCCAAATGACGGCAATCCAGGCACCATCATAACCCATCCGGTCATAACAAACATAGGTTCTCCCCAACCCCCGCCGGTTGCAAGCAAGACGCATAAAACTGTTCAGTCGTACAGACTGCATGGCGACTCTATTTGGCGATGTGTATACTAAATATACCATTGCCCAGCGGCCCTGTCTAATAGAGGACCACTCTATACCGTTGGATGGACACCGTCGCTATTAACTCGGTTGCGCGAAAACGATATTTAAAGTTTAGCGACGCCCGTCCCATTGGTTCTAAACAACTTCAAAGGCTGATTGATTCCCATACCCACTTCTTCGAAGCGACTACTAAAAAACTAACTTCTGTCCGAGTTTAATTGAAACCCTCTTCTACAAATAACAAAAGGTCGCTGACGCGAACTTCAGTGACTCACATCCTCTGCTTTTCCCCCTACCAGTATCAGCATCTGTACATCGACGCCATGACTGACAACTGGACTTTTGTTGTGCTTGGAGACCTCAAGACGGGCAAGTCTTCTTTGGTGGAAACGGTGCGTACTACCGATCAATAGCCCATCATACCCGTCATTGATCTCGTTAATCTGCAGGGCTTTCTGGGAAAACCGTTCGATGGTAAGCTCGAATCGTTCGACTGGCCTCATATCACTGACGAGCATGTTTAGAGGTTGGTTTTATCAAGCATCGTGCTCGGCTCAGAACAGGTGCTTAATGGGAACCGCACTATTGGCAGAATTACGAGCCGACGATAGAAGAGGTAGCACGCAAGTTTGTTACATTAGACAAGAAAAGAGCCTACGTCGAGGTCATTGATTGCTCCGGTAACCGTACGCATCCACACTCTTAGGACGTGATGTCACGACCACTGACAATCAAACAGACATATACGATAGTCTTCGAGAACAAGCCCTGAAGTGAGTGTTTGACATATCATCCCTGCGTTCTTAAGCACGTACCATAGTCCACGAACAGAATCGGAACCGCTTACATCTTGGTGTACTCTGTCACTGAGCGGAGCTCATTCGAAAGCCTCTGGTTGTACTGGAAAAAAATCCGCGAAGCAAGCCCGGGACCATGGCTATACAACGGGATCGTAGTCGGAACTAATATCGACCGCGCGAGCGACCGCGAGGTATCGCACAACGAAGGGCGCAACATGGCTCAATATTTCGGTTTGGCATTCACAGAGGTGTCTTCCAAGACCTCTCCAAACAGTACAAAATTCATTTTTGACCAGCTGATTCGTACCTCACGGGAAATCGACATGGCGCTGGAGACCATCAAAGACGGAAGTCGGTTCTCAGTAGACGATGAATTAATGGGGAAAAAGATGCTCCGTTGTGTCCCCTTTATCCCTCAGGCTACCCCTCGTTGTATCATCATGTAGCACATATCGTTCGTCTTTCTGCGCTGGACATTGACCTAGCGTAGCATGAGCGTTGCGAAACAAACACGGGTTCCAGGCCTTTTGGCTCAGAGTGAAGGGATTTTGGTGTAAGTACCAAGCTAAGTAAGTACCACCAAGACGCGAATCGGTTTACGGGGCGACAGTCTTATGAGCAGTCGTTCCAATATGTTTATCAAATTCGTCGCGTCGACGCGAGGCTCATATAGATGATTCATAAGCGAGACCCTGGGCCTCTTTCAGATCTTGGCCATGTTTGTCTGCAGGTCGGCACCAAGCGTCTTCGTGAGAAGTACCTCGAAGCCGTTCTCCGTCAAGATATCACGTACTTCGACAACGTTGGATCTGGATAAGTTGCTACCCGTATTCAGACCGACACTCGTAAGTCCCGTGCTCTTCAGTTTTACCGCAGTACCTGACATGCAGACTTGGTTCAACAAGCGACTTCAGAAAAGGTGGCTTTGACCGTCAGTTTCGTCGCCGCCTTCGTCACCGATTTCATCCTCGCCTACGCTCAATCATGGCGAATTGCACCTGCGATGTCCTCGATCCTCCCCTGCATGACCATCGCTGGAGACGTCATGAAAAAGTTCATCTCGGCTCGTTAGTCTTGTCTGTCCTACTCGATTGACTTGGCATGAAGACTCTCCTTGGAATATATCGCTGATGGAGGAAGTCTGACCGAAGAACCGAAGAAGTCATTGGCACCGTTCGAACCGCCGCCCAGGCATTCGGTACTCAGAGGATTCTTTCCGGCCAGTACGATAACCACGTCAACAAGGCTCTTACCGTCGATCTCAAGTCTGCCAGTTGGCATGGAAGTGGTCTTGCCTTCTTCGTGATCTACTCTTCCTAGGTGAGTCTACATCCTGTCGTCCCGATTTTGAACTTTGTACCAAGCTCATCAATCAGGGACAGGCCACCGCTAGATCCTTCGTCAACGTCTTCCTCGCCATCTTGATTGGTTCCATCTCTCTCACTTTGCTCGCTCCTGAAATTCAAGGTATGTAGGCCACTGCCTAGCTTTGTCCCTCTCTCTGACCGATAATTTTAAGCCCTCACTCACGGTTGCGGAGCTGCTGCCAAGCTATATGAGACGATCGACCGTGTTCCAGATATCGACTCGTACGATGAGGGAGGTCTCAAGCCCGAAACTGTCATTGACGAGATCACCATCGAGAACATCTTCTTCGCTTATCCATCCAGGCCCACCGTCCAAGTCATCAAGAACCTCTCACATTCCGCGCGGGCCAGACCGCTACCCTCGTTAGTGCCTCTGGCTCTGGCAAATCAACTTCCATCTCCCTCATTGAACGCTTCTACGACCCCAACGAGGGTGCTGTCAAGCTTGCCGGCAGCGACCTCAAGGATCTCAACCTTAGATGTCTCCGTTCGCAAATTGGATTGGTGTCGCAAGAGCCCACCCTATTCGCCACCACCATCCGAGGCAACGTCGCCCACGGTCTCATTGGCACCAAGTGGGAAAAAACTTCTGAAGAGGAACAGTTCAAGCTCATCAAGGATGCCTGCGTCAAGGCCAACGCAGGCGGCTTCAAGTCGCCCAACGGACACGACACGATGATTGGCGAACGCGGTTTCTTGCTGTCTGGTGGTCAGAAGCAACGTCACGTTGCTATCGTATCCTTCTGTTGGACGAGGCCACTAGCGCGCTCGATACTCAATCCGAGGGTATTGTTGTTCAGGATGCATTGGATAAAGCTTCAGCTGGCTTAGTTACAAAGTTACGGCGAGGTAATTCAAGCAAAGCATATGTATTTAGTGATGAACATAGTCAACATGGCAATTTAAGTTGGGCCGCTGGTAAGCGGTAAGCACTTACCCTGCTAACACGCGGTATCACGTCAAAGTATAAATTGACTCGACTTGAACACCCGGGAGAGGCGGACGCAAATGTAACCACAACGGGGAATATTCAGATGCTTTCCCGGGATCAAAGCTTCTTGAAGAGACATCACTAGAAAGGTAACCGCCTGCCTAATTACCTTTGTAGGCTGTCAGCGACGTTTGTACGATATAAGGCGCCGGTCTCATAATAGGTCCTACCGACACAAGGGAAGGGTCAAACCAACTGGTCTATAAAGGACCTCTGCATCAACTCCGACACGCAGTCCCAACCGACCATAACATGTCGGCCCCTCGTATCCCATTGGAGATCATCGCAGAGATCATGTCACACGCAGATCCAAAGGTGTTGGCTACATTCATACAAACGTGTTCCACTCTATTCCAGACAGCTTCGATTGGATTATATCGTTCAGATTACCATTTCAAACTGACAGCCCACCAAATGTGGACCCGTATGAAGACATTACGAAACCCGACTAGGAGCAAGTCACTTTACGCCAGCCGCGTTCATCAACTCTCTATCGTAATTCCACAGTTTGTTCCCCCCAATGACATCGCAGAGGTCATGCTTGATCTCTTTCCTCGCCTCACAAACGTCAAAGAACTCGAAATTCGCAGTCCGCCCATAGCCCCACACAAAGCCGTAATAGAAATCATGATCGCCCGCGAAGGAAACGCCAAAATCTTCGGCATCCCTCGCCCCGACCAAACTTTGGCGATGCCAGCGCTTAAAGTGTTGATCTTGAAATCGGATTATCGCTGGATACACCTCGGCCTTGGTCGTTCCACGAAGAAATTGGTCATAGAACGACCTCTGACAGCTCTCCAATGGGACCATCTGCTGAACTATCTCGATGGGATTTGGACGGGGATAGGCGTCAATCCATGGCTGGCGGTCACTGATCTCACTATAACCATCAATTGGTTTGTATGGAATGCACCCAAATGGCTAGGGAAACTGGGAAACAATTTGGTGAACATCACTCAATTAACTATCTTCCAGAAGTGGTGCCCCATTCCCGTAAGTTTTGCAATCGGTGTATCGTACAACCACTGAATTGCAACTGCAGGACTTCATCTCCAAAATGGCATCAGATTCAACCATGTTTCCACGTCTAGAACAACTTAATCTAAATCCAGGACAGTTCCAGTATCTCTCTTGCACAAAGGAAACCGCTGAACAAATGAAGAAGATGTGATCCAGCATTTGCAGAAGATCGGAAACACACGGCCAACCTTACTCACAATACACGTGGGAACCGACATATGGAGAGTACGGAAAGCGAAAGGTGGAGAAATAGAAATATCATCTTCAGCCAATTGGAAGATCTTCAAAAAGCCTTAAATTACAAATGTCCCGATTGAATAGACTTTCTTACTTTTGGTAACCGGTCGGTCGCGAGGGGACACATAAAACCTGAACACATGAAGTGTCCAGGCATACTGACCTCTGTGGTCTCTAATCGATAACTGTCTTACCACCAGTTTTACTAGCCACTAAGTTAGCCTCACTACACTCTATCTCCTGGTAAGTTCTAGAGTACACACCTGTAGTATATAGTGTTTGCTCGTCAGGTTATGAGCCCCGAAAGGCTTTAGCTTTGCGCTTCTATAGGCTGCATTGCTAAACTGGTTTGCACTTTGATAGGCTGCATCCAGGATCTGTGTTTGCGCTTCATCGCTGCATCACAGATTGCTCTAAGGCTTACCGACTTGAAGTCGTAATGATCTGTGCTGTTATCGACTGAGATCAATGGGACTAAGGAGCGCCATTTATGGCAGCACACTTACGTTACCATGGGAACATTATGCTGATGATCGTCTTTTGACAGATCTCATCAAAATGTCCATCTCTGCCAACATTGACAACCATGTCATGCTCTTCAAGGGCGTCGACTACAACGTCTGGGCCGATCAGATGCAGACGTACCTCGAGTTCACTGGGTTGTGGAACTACACCAGATCCTCATCCCAGTCGCCCATCGATCCCGGTGAGAGTGCCTCCAACAAGGAGAAGAACTCGTATCGTGCCGAACTCAATGTAAGGGGACCAGACGCTTTCTCTGACTTCTCCTGTATCACCGGCCCCTATGTGGAGTAAGGTAAGCGTGATTACGAGAATCCTACCTGCAGATTCTCGATGGCTTGGACGATGTGCGTCATACTTCCATTTCGGGAAGTAGTTTCCCACGACCCCTCCAAAACCTTTCCGACACGGCTTGCTCCACTGATGTGTCTCAGATGCTCCACAGCATGGGTGGCTGCATCAACTGTATAGTTTAGTCCCACGGTCTCCAGTAGTCGATCATCGTTGCTTTCGCGCTGGCAGGGTTTCCTTAGGCTTTTGTCTTTGGATTCTCCCCTGTCAGGTAGGCCCTTGTATTTGTCGTTGTTTCTCCGTGGCTCAATAGACTTTGGATTCTCCCCTGTCAGACCCGTGTGTGAGTGTCCACCGGTGCGGCTAGGGTTGCCCTTACACTCAACAGGTATAACGAGGGAACCACGAAGTGCATGGGTGCCATGAGGCTTCGCCTCCATCCAGACATCAGGAACCATCCCGATATCAAGGTGTGCGTCGGTCCCTTTACTCTTTGGAGTAAAATCCAAGAGTTGTATGGGAAACCCGGTCTTTCGGTCATTTACTCTGACTTCAAGCAAGCAATCTATTTCGCATGGGATGGGAATCTCGATCCTCGTTCTGAGATCGCGCGCTTCCAAGTCATTCTTTCTCGCTTGACTGCCAACAAAGTTGAGCTTCCCGAATTCGTAAAGGGAATGCTCCTTTTGTCGTCACTTCCTCAAAAGTACGATAACGTAGTCAGCCTTGCATTGCAGACTTTGAAGGACATGAAGGACATCAAAGTCGATGCCATCACTCCTCTTATCATCACTGAGAATGAGAGGAAGTCCACCAAACTATCTGTCAACAAGGCAACTCGTGTCAAGCAGAAGAAGAGTAACCCCAAGTACAAGGACCAAAAGAAGCAGTCCGATGCGCCTCAGACCGAGCAGCAAGGACAGTCCAAATCCAACAAGGATAAGAAGAAGATCAAGTGTGGCAAGTCTTCTGGCAAGAACAAGCAACACGAGCACGTTCACGCCGCCGTCGCTGATTCTGATTCTGATTCCAATGGACCCTCCTACATTGCTTCCGCTGCATTCCTCGGCTCCCACGTCATCGATCTCATCCCACACACTCCGGCCCCCTCGACTGCATCCATCGCCAACTTCACCAAAGATGGCATCTCTGTTGACAAGCGCCCTATCAATCTTCCGGCAAAGGCTTTCACCGTTGCCACTGCCAAGAAGATGGAAGAAACTCCGGTTTACTCCAAATTCGAGAGCATCGCTCAGGCACAGAAGATCTGCGAAACTCATGGAGTGCCCAAGACCGCTCGCAACCTCACTGCGGTTCTGGACATACCCAGAGTATCACTTGCCAAATGCCTCGAATCCCCTCCTCCTGCCAAACGACCTTGATGTGAATCCCCTCTCTTCTCAGATGAGGAGGACGACACTGTTTCTCTTGGCTCCGAGGAAGAACCGGATTTCGCCGAAGATGTGGACATGCACGACATCGCCAATGGTCTTGATACCGGTTTTGTCAACGAAGCTAGGTGCATTGCCGTCACTAAATCTCTGAACCACAAGTTCACTGATCTTTACCAGCGATTTGTTCCTTTGAACACTAGCAATATTGGTGAAGATTTGTTCATGGACATGTGTATAGCATTAAATTACCTCGTTTCTAAATATGATGCTTTACATTCTTGCCAATCGGACTGTGAACAGTGTGAGAGATTCAGAGGTTACACAATGTGGATGATGGATTCTGGCGCCTCCATTCATGTCACCAGTGAACTATCCGATTTTGCGGAATACAGGGAGATCACTGATTCTCCTAGAATAGAAACTGCAAAGAAGGACAGTACGGTTCACATGGCTGGCATTGGTACCGTCTTCATCAAGCATATGGCAAAAGATCATCAAGGCTGATTTGTCGAAACTACGACTAGGCTGTTCCCTGTCTACCACGTCCCTGACCTTAACACACGACTCTTGTCTATGGGAGTTTTCCTATTGGACCAAGGACACTACGTTTGAGGTACCATGAAGGGCATCGGCATCTACGACTCGGATGACCGACTTATGCTTATGACACGCCCTATTCAACATGGCCATACCATTTATTGGCTAAAGAGTCAAATTCAACGAGTTTCTACACTCGTGAATAAGTTGACAGTTCACGCTGTTGACTACAACCTCATGCATAAGCGCTTTGGACACGCATCCAAAGAAGTGCTTGAAAAAGCGCCGCAGAACACCAAAAACTTCCCACAAGGTGTCAAGATCCCTAAAAAGATCCCGATCTGCCGAGGATGTGCAAAGGGGAAGATGATGTCAAAGTCTTTCCCACTCATCAGAAACTCGTGCGACGAAACCCTTCCAAAAGATTCATTCTGATGTGAAGAGTTTCCCGGTTGAGTCATATCACCGGTACAAGTATTTCATCACTTTCATGGACGACTATTCCTCTCACGGTTGGGTTGTTCTACTTCAAAAGAAGGAAGAAGCTATCATAGCCTTGCGTAAATTTCATTGACATGGGTTAAAACCCAACATAATTCGAAAATTGTCGAGTGGATGTCAGATGGAGGGGGAGAATACAAGTCCAAAGAGTTCGATGCTACACTCTTGGAAAATGGGATCAAGATCAACCAGAGCGTTCCACGCACACCCCAACAAAACGGAAGGGCTGAACACTTTATCAGGACAATAATGGATAAGGCTGAATCATTACATCATGACACCTGTTTACCTCAGTCCTGGTGGGAATTCTCGGTGCTGCACGCACTTCATCTGTATAACCGAACTCCGATCAGACGGCTCAAGTGGCATACCCCATACGAGCTTCTGCGGAATGAGGTTCCAGATGTCTCTCATCTTCGCATATTCGGTTGTGGGCACTTACGTCTATCTACCTCCGGATGTCCGACCTAACAAACTAGGACCCAAATCCGAACTTATGGTGTTCCTGGGATACCCGGAAGGAATGAAAGGTTATCTCTTCATGCGCCTACACAACAACACCCTGTTTAAGGGGACAACCACGATCTTTGATGAGACTCTGTTCCCAAAGTGCAAAGATGAGGATCGTCCACGAGAACAGACTCGAATTGGTGAAACACCACCACTCACCTCCATCGGATGATGATCCGAACCCTCCACAAGATGAAGACGGCGATGATGGTGAGAACCATCCTCCCGGCTCTCCACAACTTCCTCAAAGGGATCATGATGAAGAACATGACGATGTTCCGAATCAAGATCCGCCGCCACCGGCACTGGGAGATCAAGAGGCTCTGGCACAACAGCCACAACAACCTCGTAGATCTGGCCGTGCGCGGAGAAATGTTGTACGTCCTGACTCCATTTATGGGGATAAAACCCCTGCAGAGATTGATGCCCAAGGGCAGTGTGATTGGAAAAAGACTGTCGGAGATACCGAGCGAAGGCCTGCCGGTTACCACAAGTCTGGAAAGCAAGAAGCGGTTCCCAGCCCTAATCTTGCCAATAATCCTGATCACAATAGTGGCGCTGCTCAAGATCTCGGAGAAGCTGAGACACAACGATTGGCAAAATTATCCAGGGAAGGGGGAGTAGAGTTTATTGCATATTTCTAAAGCAGTACCGCATACCTCACTTTCAAAAGTCTCCACGAGAGTGGACTTTTCGTGATATCATGAAGCTCCCAAAAGAGCAGAGGGAAAAATGGCTCACCGCTTGCCAAGAAGAGATTGAGGCACTCAAAAAGCGCGGCGTATATGTCATGTCCGATCCGCCTAAAGGGCGTAAAATTGTCCAATGCCGATGGGTTTTCGACATCAAACCAGATGGTCGATTACGTGCCAGACTTGTCGCCAAGGGTTTTACCCAGATTGAAGGAATTGACTTCGATCAAATCTTCTCACCAGTTGTGCGTTACGAATCAGTTCGCACTTTGCTTGCCTTAGCAGCACTGGAAAACTGGTATATCACCGCCGTTGATGTCAAGAATGCTTTCTTGTATGGGCAAACTTGACAAGGAGATCTATATGGAACAACCCGAAGGCTTCAAGATTCCTGGGACAGGAGCACAAAGTATTCCGGCTGCTCTGAGCTATCTATGGTCTGAAACAAGCTTCTCACTCCTGGTACAAAGAGCTTGTAGAGTCTGCGAAGTCTCTGGGCTTCAAACGACTATCGACCGACACCGGAATTTTTATCCACCAGGATCCAAGTGGTGACTTTGTCATCATGATTGCTTACGTCGATGATATCTTGTTCCTGGGACCCAACAAGAAGCTTGTCATTCGAAAGAAAGACGAGTTCAAAGGGAAATGGGAATGCCGAGACTTAGGCGAACCATCTGAATTCCTCCGGATGTGGATCAAGCGCCAAGGACAATCAATCCTGCTTGACCAGACTGACTATCTTAAGGAAGTCTTGGAACACTTCGGAATGATGGACTGCCGAGTGGCAAATACTCCCATGGTGGAAGGATACAAACCCACCGAGAACCCTGATCCCGTGAATCCACAACTCCGACATCGATTCCAGTCTGTGATCGGATCACTGCTTTACATAATGTTAGGAACTCGACCTGACATTGCGTACGCTGTCACCAAGCTATCGCAGTTTGCAGCAAATCCATCACAAGAGCACTTCGACAAAGCGCTCTACATCTGTCGATATCTCCGAGGCACCATGGATTATTGCATGGTACTAGATGGTTCATCGCAAGAAGGACTGATCACTTACTCGGATTCGGACTTTGCCGCTGATCCTATCAAACGTAAAGTCTGTGACTGGTTTCATTGTCAAACTGGCAAATGCCGCCATCAGTTGGATTTCTCGTTCCCAGAAAACCATAGCGACTTCATCAACCGAAGCCGAGTACATGGCACTCTCAGATTGTAGCCGCCAAGTCATGTGGTTGAAACATATGTTCGCTGAACTTGGTATTCCCATCGACAAAGTTCCGATCTGCACGGACAACAATGGAGCCATCTTTATCGGCACCAACCCCATTCAGGAACGTCGTATCAAACACATTGATGTTTGCTATTGTCGCGAAGAGCGAACACTAAACCAAACTAAAGACCAGTGATGCGGAGCAGATAAGAGCGGCGAGTAAGATAAGAGCGATGAGCGACGAATGCAGATGAAGGCTGAAGCGATGTATTGACGAAAGAGGTCAAGCTGAGGAAATACAGAGCAGACTACCTAGCTTATATACCTATTCTACTGTCTACATAGCCGCAGTGAGTCAGAATGACGAACAAATGGTGAAACATCGAAGAACAATAAGAAAGGTCATGAGGCTGCGCGAAGGCTGCGCGAAGAACAAGAATGAAACAATAATGGAACAAGAAGGTGTCAGAGTGTGTCAGAAGGCAGTGCGTAACAATAAGGACGATAGAGTAGGGCAAAGGGCAATGCGAGGCAGTGTTCCATGAGTGAAAGAGTCCATAGAGGGAATAAGGAGGCGAAGGAGTAAAGGAAAGTGGAACGATAAGATGCGAAACAGATTAGATAAGATAAGATGAAAAATAGGGGCTATACCGGCTGTTCACGACATTACCCCCCTTCTAAGCCTCATCGTCCTCGATGACCAATGGTAGGCGACGTCCAAGTTCCCAGTCGAGGTCGGTAGGCGGAGCGTCGGTGAAGTTCTCAAGTGGGCGCCAGGGGAGAGAGCTGAAGACGGTGGCGGCGATGCGGCGTGGTGCAGAGGGGTGTCGCTGGTGGAACTCCTTCACAATCTCGGGTGCGTGCTCCAGGTTCTCCTCCGGTTCCCAAGTGTCATCCGTCGACCCGTAACCCTTCCAACTGACCAAATACTCCAGTTTGCGATTCTTTCCTCGACCTCTCCAACGGCTGTCCAAGATGTCGTGAACTTCATATTCAAGCTCCCCCTCCAGTTCGACAGGCTCAGGCGGGGGTGGCAAAATGCCATTGACATCATTGCCTTTCCAGGGGGAGAGCTTGTCGACGTGGAACACAGGATGAATGCGGGAGAGGGACGGGGGAAGTTCGAGGCGGTAGTCGAGGTCGCCGATGCGTTCGGTAATCTTGTACGGGCCGAGTTGGAGGTCGCCGAGTTTGCGGGACGGAACCTTGATCTGGATGTCCTTCGCGTTAAGCCAAACGTAGTCGCCAACCTTGAATTGATGAGCCGTTCGCTTGCCGGACTCGTACGCATCCTTCTGCTGGGCCTTCTCGAGACGTAAGGCAGCTTCCACATCCTTGCGGGCTTCTTGTAGCTGCTGAACACGTTCATCAACGGGGCGAAGGTCGGTCCGTTTGCCAATGGGGATGTTGAAGTGGGGAATATACCCATAGAGAACTTCGAAAGGTGAACGATCATGGGCAGAGTGGACGCGGGAGTTGATCACGAATTCAGCCATCGGTAGGTGCTTGTCCCAGTCATCCTGTCG